CGTTCCCTATTCCCCTACATGCCAATCTCAAGCCCTTTAATGCTACGCCTGAGAGGAATCACGATTGCCTAGACAATTTTATCTGTAAAACTCAGCCACGGTTATGCAATTGATAGTACATAAATAGGAAAGTGGTTTCCATCAAAATGACACGATGCATACACATAATCATACAAGTTATTCAAAGCAGGAAAACCTATCAAGTTTTCTTCAACAAAACATCTCAAATCCTTGCAGGCATATGGTGACCAGACTGACTCATTTAAGAAAAAAATGTCCGATTCCAAATCCTGCTTATCCTTTTTCGGAAAATTAAATCATAACTCTGATCACGGTACACCAAAATCAGAACTACATAAACTAAAAGACCATGTATGGATAAGAACTTATGAAGCGTCCACAGACCTTCGATTTTACACTTCTGAGCCATTGTTCCACCAAGTATCATTGCACTAATAATTTCTGCAGCTATACTTTCAAACAAATCAGCACCTCGAGCAGCGCAGTCCCCCACATTGTCTCCAACCTGCAAAATCGTGAAATTGATCTGAGTCGGAAAATAATACATGCAAAGTAAGTTCCTCAGCAGATTTTACATGTGTAACCAAGATACTGGAGCATGAGTATGTGATAGCAATCGAGGATTTCCTCTCCATGTGAACTGGAAAAAAGTAAAACGGGAAGAGGAAAATATCTAATACCAAATCAGCAATAACAGCAGGGTTTCGAGGATCATCTTCAGGAATACCCTGCTCTACTTTTCCAACCAGATCTGCCCCAACATCAGCGGCTTTAGTGAATATTCCACCCCCCAACTGAGCGAAAAGGGCCACAAATGAAGCACCAAAGCCATATCCAACAAGGAGCAGAGGCACTGAGATAGAAAGAGAGAAGATAATCAGTAAAGCTAACAATTCTATCTCCCCTTTAATGCATTTTCCTCAATGTAAAAGACTAGTCTAGTTGATTTCAAGTACAAAGATCCAGAAATTTTAAACACAAGGGCACATATAGCAATAGACGTCATGAATATTGAACACTTTGTGGCTAGCTTCTCATGAAGTTCTAGGCACAACATTGTTGCTCCAGTAAATGAATCATGTCACTATTTCAGAAGCGACTTCTTATCAAACACGCATAACTACCATGCCACAATCATGATCAGTTCACATCATAGTACATCGAGGAATAATCTTGTATCACAGAAAATAGGCGCCTGATACTACATAGAAATCTTATGCTCTGAACTCAGTACACTAAAGGGTAAACCAGAGGTACTTTGGACTTACAATCTGTAACCTTCATTGAGCCTGGTGAATCCACACCCAACCAAACATAGAATGTCGAATAAAGGATGGCTATACCGATCACAGCCATACCAACGACAACCAGGGCTGAGAATCCACCGGCACGAACTGCTATCTGCATTAAATTTGAGACTTAGTATTTGAATACAAGAACGTGTAATGCTATGAATAATACTTGGAACAAAAGTTAACCTGCAATGCCTCTCTGGCAGATCATCTAGCAGCACTAGAGACTTAGTATATTTGACTACAAGAATGTGTAATGCTATGAATAATTCTTAGAACAAAAGTTAACCTGCAATGCCTCTCTGGCAGATCGTCTAGCAGCACTAGAGACCCGTACATTAGCGCGGACTGACACCCACATTCCAACATATCCTGCAATTCCTGAACATAAAGCCCCCAAAAGAAATGCAGCAACAGTAATATATGCAGACATTGCCCTGGCCCAGGAAGTAAATCAAGTAAGATCAGGTACAGCTGCATAAAAGATTGAATAAAAGCCTGTGTATGCAATCATGTATTGTCACCTTCCTAAACCAGAAGACTCTTGCTGGGGGGTTGTGTTACGGAACAAGTATATGCAAAGAATCACGAACGCTAGCAAGAATGCCATCCTGGATATTGTACCATACTGTGTTCTAAAGAAGCCTTCAGCTCCATCACGTATAGCATCTGATATCTACATATAAAAGAATAAGCTCAAAACTGAGAAATGAAAAACAAGTAAACTGACAAAAAAGAAAAAACTCAGCATCATGAACGCCATAAAACAGAGAAATAAATTTACCTGAACCATCTCTGGAGGCCCTTCATCCTTCGCTAATACCCACTTAGTCAGATATATTGACAACAGGAAGCTGATGATGCATACCGTGAAGACAAACACAATGATAGGAGAAGTACTTGCTCCCATGTAAAAGATAGCTCCAAAGCACAGAAGCAAAAGTATAGAAACAACACGGACATTTAGACGCCTAAGAATCCGGAATATCTGCAAAAATTATAAGTAGCATGCTTTACACTTTCAGAACAGGAAGAAAAAAAAAGTAATAATGAACTAAGACGCAAAAAGAAAAAACACAAAACTCGTTACAAAATCAACAAAAGTTCTTACCCAAACATGAATGTTCTGGCGCAGTCAATAGGATAGCAAAACACCATATCAAACAAAAAGACAAGATGTGTATCTTACCAGTGGAGTATAGGGTTTACTACGCATGTTTGGGAATGTCTTTGGCCTGCCATTGTAAGACAACAGACTGGCCTGCTCGATGTCTTCATCCATCATCATGTTTGCTATGAATCCACCCTCAGGACACTGGGCAAAGGGGTAAAGTCGGTGCTATGGGGGAAACTCGAGCACAGAACTTGGGTGATGATTTTTGTTCTACTATATTCTGCCCTCAAACTGATTATCGCATCATAACGAGGGCAAGCTAATCCCTATTGCTAAGCCAGACTATATCTTGATTCCACGACTTCTTCAAATTTTCTCGGTTGGTCTTCGAATCAAGGGCATTAACTCCCTGTTCTGGTATAAGCAAAGGTTCTGAAATAAAACACAGAAGTAATGAAAGAAGTCATATACTCTGCATACAGAACACAGTAGGTAGCACAAAGTCCAGAGCTTTCTTTTTTATATAGTGCCTTTACAAAAGCATATTCATTTTTACAACTTCAACAAACAACCAACTTTACCATGCAAAAATATGGCAAATACTCATCCGATTAACCATTCAAAGTACGGAAAATACTCATCCTACTGCCAAACTATAGCCTACTATAAGCTTTGGCACATTTATCATTCACCCACGTGTTCTTCCCCATATGCTAAAAAGCTTCTAGAATCAGGGTCCCCAGGTAATCGCAGAAAACAAACAGTGTATGAAACAAAAATATCTGCTACAACCTAGAAATTTTCAGTATAAGACACCAGAGGAAAATACAAAGGGAAATTGCATCTGTCTTACATTAACCAAACACTGACATTTCCATCGAGAATCAACGTCAGATCTGAATTCGTGCTCATGGAAAATCTCATGATCTAGACGAGAAACTGAATACGTTTCAGCAAAGATGGAAAATTAGAGAAAATCTTACCTGAAATAAAAAAAAATGCATACAAATAGTTCTCCCAATACACGAAAGAAAACCCTAATTCACGGGAACAGAAGAGAAATTACAGTTCCGATGAGTGATCAGAAGGAAACCGCCATTAACGAAGCTTGTCCCAGCCGAAGAAACGCTCTCTTCTAAATCCGGAGACTTTCCAGAGGGAAGTCGGAATATTTTGGTGGGTATTTTCCCCTTCTTTTTCTCTTTTTCATATTTTCTTCTGCAGCTTAGTGGTAATTTTCGATACATACGTTTGGATTCCATTGACATGTCACATCCAATGAAATCATGACACGTGTTACAAAGAAAAACAATACAATCAAATTGCTCATTAGCAATCATAATGACTAGAAGACAAGATTGTATATTATAAAATAATAAAAGTAATTATTCGGATAACTCCCAGCTCAGGATTAAGAAAACACTGGGCCCTTTTACTCTTTACTGGGCCCAAGCCCAATAGTGGCGCATACGATATTACATGGAAAAAAAAAGAGAATAAAATTATTTATCCACATCCGAATCCGATTGAAGCGAACGCAAGAAATTCAAAAACCTCAAAGGGAGAGAATCAAAACCCTGCGAAGAAAAATGAAGCAACCAGGGATTCCGAACGCAGCCCAGGAAACCCTAGCCGGCCAAGACCAGTCAGGGGCGAAGCAAAAGCCGAAGAAATTCCCAACACCACAGGAGCTGATCTCTCACTACCAGGAACGAGGGATCGAGCCGGCCGAAGCATCCGTCAAGGTGATCGAGGACCTCCAAAACGCGCTCATGCGCGTCGTTTCGTCCTCCAGGAACGCCACCGCCAAAAACAAGCTCTTCGCCGACGCGTCGAGGAAGATTGACGCCGTTAACGGAAGACTCGCCGTCGTCGACGCTAAGCTGGACTCGAAGCCTGGGTATGGTGAGACATTTGCCTTAGGGTTAGCTTCTGGTGCGGCGCTCAACGGGATTAGCGCCGTTTGGCCTCACGTTATCAGAGGCCTTGGCCAGATTTGGTCCGCCGTTAAGGGCGTGACGGATCCGTCGTCGCCGTCATCTTCCCCGTGAATTGTTGGACGGAATATTCTCTAATGGTGCGTGGTAGGATAGGAGAATTTCAAGATCGGGTTTTTAATTTTTTATGCACCTGGGGTTTTGTTGTAATGGGAAGATTTTGAGTTATTCCATCCAACGTTAAAGAGATAACGGAGGGAATTTTATGTTATTTTATACAGATATATTTACAGTTCAAAATTAAGAATATTTGAATATTGTGTATGTATTTAATATACGACCGACCATGAATTAAAATGAATGATTAAGGTTTTGGCGACTGAATTTCACTCGAATTACATCATCGTGTGTAAGATTTTCATTCAGTTACATAAATATTAAAAAAAATGGATGTTATGTTAAGGCATATTTAAATTTTACATTTTTATTAAGAACTATTATGATAAGCATCGTCATCATCAATATATAAATTAATGCAATTTAGAAATAATATTAGCTTGAATATCCTAATTTAAATTGGCTTATGTTTTGTCCTAAGAATGTAAAGATAAATTTTATTTTATAATTAATAATTTTTATTTATGAGAGGATGTGATCCTATCATCTACTTCGTTCCACTCGTAACGGTTTATGAGAGCCACTACTCATTTTCCTCGAATTACACGAAACACGGAGAGGTCCCCTCTGATTTTTCATTCTCCGGCGAAGGGATTTTCCGATCGATCAGCTTCTTTACGGTGTCCGGTGGTTCTGTTCTCCGTGCCGCTCGTAATCTCTTCGGAGATTTTCAGAGCTGTGGAGGATGTCCGTGGCGGTTGCGGCGGCAGTGACAGCCGTCTCAGTTAGCTCAAAGCTTCTCGTGTTTCGGGTTCGCTGCTCGGATTCTAACCCTAGGCGCGGCTTTGGTCCTAAAAAGGTGCGATTCCTGACATTTTTCTTGCTGCTTGTTTCCGTTTGTTTCCGGAGAAATTTTATTGTTTAGCTGTAGAAATTCATAGGGATTTCCTCATGTTTCCAAGATATTGAGATTTGACTGCAATCACCTAGGATTCCTTCATTGTAATTTTAGTCTTCCCGTTGCTTTAGAACAATTGGATGCCGTGAAGAGTAGATTTCTGGAATCGTAATTTCCTGCTGCTGAATTAAAGTTTCCACCTGTTTGGTTCCTATGGCCAAAACGATTTCTCATTTGTGGATAGTTCCTACTCTGATTATGTTCAACATTTTTGTTCTATGTTCTTAGGACGTCCACTTCATTTGCATCCTTTTTTTTCCCTTTATATCATTTCTGAAACTTACTGGAGCACTAAGAATATGCAACTACAATGCAGGAATATAAAGGTCCAGAATTGCCACAAAGGTACGATTACAATTGGTGTTTGTTATTGGTTCGCTTGGCATGTATGGTTTCCATTTTGTGAGAGATCACTTGGCTGTTCTGATTCCACCTTGCTATAAGCCTAAAACCATGGCTTAGTTAATTGAAATATTGTGCTCCTCTCGTCTATTTAGTATTTGCATATTTTTTGTTTTGCAGGAACTCATCTGCTAAACAGTCTGTTTCCATGCCCAGAAGTAAGTATATAATAAAAATATATTACGTCAGTTTCTTTAACGTATTGAGTTTGTGTCAGACAAGAACGTGAAAAGAATGTCTGCTAATGTAGGTACCTTAGTATTCATCTGTGCGTCCATCATTTTATATTTGGTGTGTCACAAATGATAGTATAACTGCCTTCTGATTTCCTAAGTCAACAGATTGTCATTACTTATTGCTATGCTTGCTGACTCTAGTTAGCTGGACCATGGGTGCCTTTTGAATCTGAAATGACTACTGCCTTATTAAGTTGCTCATATTTACATATAAATAATCATAATTCTATGCATATATGCCTTCTGGATCTCAATTTCTAATAATATCCCCTCATCGGTGGTCCTCCTGTACTTCTTGTATAAAACTTTTGCTTGTAGAGGCACCCGGTCTGAGCTCTCAGTTTGAAGGAAAATATGGTAAATCTGTAGATATTGACTTCGAGGAACGATTGGAAGCCATTAAAAGGTGCCTTTTTTCATATTTTACATAGACATAGTTGTTTTATGGCATTCTTTCATCTCTTAACATGTTCATTTAACTATATTGTCTATATATATTGTTGGGGGTAATACATACTTAATTCGAATTAATTCGTCTCGAACTTTATAGTGACATGTCATTTGGATAATCTATTATCTACCAGTTTCATGTTAGCCATCTTTTGCTCTGTCTATGGACCAGGTCAGCACTTGAGCAGAAAAGGGCAGACGAAATTAAAGAATTTGGTCCAATAGACTATGATGCTTCCATCGAGTCAGAAAAGAAAGCAATCGGCCTTGGTACTAAGGTAGACCCAAAGATTAATCTGATAAGTGTGCTCATCTGATCCTCAAGTTTTTCTTGACCTTTGTGATGTCTTGAAAAAATCCGTTGCATGGCAGATTGGAGTTGGCATAGCAGTTGTGGTATTTGGATTAGTTTTTGCTCTTGGAGATTTTCTTCCCTCGGGAAGGTGTGTTGTGTATTAAAGGTTCTCCCTCTCCACAACTTGTAAGATACATTGATGATATCACATTTAATTTTCTTAGCATCATCTTCATCTTCTAATTCCAAGCATTTCGCCAATCCTATTCATAAACTCTTCCATTTGCATTGTGTTACTAGTGTCCATTTGTCTGCCATCTTTTCAAGTCACAATCTGCCTCCTGTCAGATGTTAAGTAAGTCTCACCAGCTTTTTCATGTTTCAGTGACAATCCAACCGAGGACACAGCAGTTGTGAAAAATAAATTGTCTGAAGAGGAGAAAGTCACGCTTCAGGTAATATAAATGATTCATTTCTCACCAAGTTTTGATTCTTTGACCTTGATAAAAAAAAAAAAAGAAAAAAAGTTCTAGCTTCCTCAGCATAATCTGTGCCTTGTTCACATTGAAAGCATAGGGAAATATGGGATGTCTTCATGAATGTTTTTCACATTGGGGTTTGAATTTCTGGGTCACTGTTCTGTTCTCTTTTTCTTGTGGCATGTCTTTTCCTCTTCATTTGGCTCTCCTTAAGATCATATAACTGGGGTTATAGTTGTCGTTTGCATACCTTTAGAAGAGGTATGCTTTAAACTACTTCTCTCAACTTAATAGTTTTGTCGTTAAAACAACATCCTTAGCTGTTTCCGTATTATATTCCCTGGTATAATGTAACACTTGTTATGTTTGTTATATTTCAGAAAAGGCTTAAAGAGTTCGAAGCAACTCTCAGTAGCTCTCCTAAAGATCAAGCTGCTGTCGAGGTGCGTGATGATAATAAGTAAATTGTTTATATAAAGTTTTGCATCTATTAATTTTGGATCTAGGCTTTATTCTTCTCTGAAGGCTGCTGATTATTTTTGAGCTAACACCTTAGTAAATGATCCTGTCTCTGATGATACAAGTCAACCTATTTAGAAGCCATACTGAACTACGGGCTTCATACTTTTTGTCAGTTTTCATGTGTTCATCTAATTTCCGAATTTGTTGTTTCCGGAGGAATTCTAGTCTGGTCTGCTTGCAATAGATATCTCAAATTAATTTCAATCTTCATCATCTAAACCCTGAGTACGAGCCGCAATAAAGTTTGTAAGATTGGGTCTGCAGGGTGCTGCTGTGACTCTGGCAGAACTTGGAGAGTATCCGCGGGCTGCTTCACTTCTAGAGGAATTGGCTAAGGTTTTGTATTTTCCACTGCTTTTTATATCTACCTTGTTAAGATTATCCCAGTGCCCATTCCTTTCTGGAGGACATTCTTACTATGTAGGAGAGACAAAATGACCCTGAGGTCCTCCGATTGCTTGGAGAAGTAAAATTGGAACTCAAGGACTATGAAGGCAGTATTGCTGCATATAAGAGTTCTGCGATGGTAATTGTTTTTTTTTTCTCTCTCTCTCAAAAGTTGTTAATGCTTTTGAGCTATCAATATCACATGAATTATTACGTTGCTTTGCTGTACGATTTTGAAGCCCCGTGTGTTGTGAAATTCCAATTGATGATGGTAATTCAAATGTATTCGATGTACATGATCAATAGGCGTCTACAGACATTGATTTCGAAGTAACACGAGGCCTCACGAATGCATTGCTTGCTGCAAAGAAGCCAGATGAGGTAAATTGCCTCTTTCCAGATACTGTGACTAAAATCCATATGCTATCTCTCTTAACTGCCGAAACTTGCTCCTTTTTTTTTTTTAAAAAAAAAAAACTCTCATTTCCTTCTGAAACTCACCCTCTCAAGTCTGTGTGGGTATACAGGCAGTCAAATTCCTTCTGGACACTCGTGAACGCCTGAATGCAGCAAAGAAAACAAGTGTCATAGAAAATAAAGTGGACAGTGCTGCTGCTGCTAGTACAGAAGCAGAATCAAGTATTGATCCCATACAGGTAGCCCACCACCCAAAGCCCTGGTATATTGCGTGTGATGCCTGTTATTTTCAATTGGACGTTTTGGCTCATCAGGTTGAGTTGCTTCTGGGGAAGGCGTACTCAGACTGGGGACATGTCAGCGATGCTGTTGCTGTTTATGATAGGCTTATCGCTGATCATCCTGAAGACTTCCGCGGCTACTTGGCTAAGGTTTTCTCTTTGGCCTATGTTGGCCTTATCTTCCCCAGAAAATGGTAATATAATAAAATACAATAATATATGATAATTGCAGGGTATAATTTTGAAAGAGAATGGAAACACAGGAGATGCAGAGAGAATGTTCATCCAGGTACATAATCTATATATATGTGTATATATATCATTCCCAGATTCAGGGGTCACATTGATCTTTATTGCTAGTCCGTAATAAAGTATCTAATTAGTGCATCATCCCTTAACCTTAATGGATAACAAATGTACAAAAAAAAAAAAAAAAAAAAAAAAACCTGAATAGCCCACTGTTTATGATTGCAGGCCCGATTCTTTGCCCCAGATAATGCAAAGCCTCTTGTGGATAGGTTTTCCAAGACATTAACGCGGAAGGGTTGAGACACAAAAACAGGAACCAATATAAAGCATCTGAGAGAAGTTTCCTTCTCTTTTGTATTTGCACAGATAGACTGTGTTTCTATATACACACATTTGTCTTTCAATCAAAATTCCCACCTTCCAAAGAGGAAGGGTAGACAATTGTCACAGCCTTTGGCCCTATGAATGTGACAAGGTATTAACAAAATTTTCCTACACATGAGGCGGTGTGAGAGCTCCTGCCATTCTGTGAATAGAAAAAAAAAATCACTTGCCTATCAAGAAACTCCAAGAAAATTGCAGGTGATGATATCGGATATCCCTGTAGCCGCCGGTTCCCTTCTACAATACTTTCTTAGTGCCTGTAGAATCTGCAATCATCACCAGACAAATGCGGACACACTTTGGATATGTAATACTGCGTATGATTTCACGTTTGCACACAGCATGCCACAATGATAGTAAACAAAAAAGAAAAGCAAAGAGGTATGTTTACCTTTCTTTGCTTTAGGAGGTCTACTAATGTCAGTTGTGGTGGTTGAATCACCCGGGGGCAGAGGCCGCTTTGGAGGTTTCGGCTTTTGTGAGGGAATAAGAGAAGAGCTTAGAATAGCTTCAATAGCTTCTCTATCCTTTTTCCTTTTGGATATCATATTCTCACCTCCTCCCCCTCCTCTGCTCATCTGTTTACCCTTCCCTTTTACGTCTTCCTCAGCCGCACTCCTCTTGTTTCTCTCGAGCTCCAATGAAGCCTTCTTCCTATACCTATTCGAATCTGAATCCTCCACATTCGGTTTCTCCCTTCTCAGTTCCGATGAAGCCTTCTTCTTCGACCCTCCTTCCCTTGCACTTGGATCCAGCTTCTTTGCCCTATTCAAGTTAACACCCTCCACGTTAGGATCCTCTCTGCTCTTCTCTTTACCTTTACTCTTCTCGATCTTATCCTGGTTCACGTTACGGTTATGTTGCCTATTGATCAGTGATTTTGCATCCTTCGAAATTCCCTTCTCACCGCTTTCAGCTCCAGTTTTTGTCTGAGAATAACTTTCATGTTTTGCATTTTGTTTCATGTGTTTGCCGTGAGGTCCTTCAGATGTGAGAGGAACATCATCTCCTCCATCAGTTGGCTTATTGTCTCTCATAGGCACAACGTCAAATTCTCTCCTTTCACTATCATGCTTAGCCTCTGCTCTCCTTTCTTTCCGGATGGCATTCGGTATCTCACCCTTTGGAACACTCTTTGGAGAATTTTCCGGATCCACTTTTGTCTTGCCAAAACTGGAGTTGTACGGCCTTTTGAGCTGTATGATAATGTTTCTTTCCTTAGCATCTTTCACAAGTGCAGCCCAGTTATGGTCTCTTTGCAAGGTCCTTGTGTTACCCAAAATCCAAAGGGAGAGCTTGGCTCTTGTTAGAGCAACGTTCATGCGTCTAACATCAGCAACAAACCCGATGCCGCTCCGATCGTTTCCACCCGAAGTGGTATCTGAAGCTCTTACGGTGGATAAAACAAGTATGTCAACCTCCCGGCCCTGGAAACCATCCACAGTATTCAGTTCCATATCTGCTACTGCTTGTGACCCAAACGCTGAAGAGAACCGAGAACGCAAAACCGAAAGCTGTCGTTTGTACGGAGTGATGATGCCAATCCTTCCAGGGACAAACTCCGAGGGAAACCTGCAAGCACGAAAACATTACAGAACCAGTCAATGACGAAGAGAAAATCAAACATTTTAAGAAGTAGGTCATGTTGCAGAGCCTAAAGTTAAACCAACACCTGTTCTTGAAAAAATTAAGCAGATGAACAGCGGCTTCAGCCTCTCGTTCATTGCATAGAGACATGGATCCAGAATCCCCACTTCGATGTTCTTGGCCATCAACAATATCATAGAAGATGTACGGCCCTAGATAACGTGTCTCGTGAAATGAGGCTGATTTGCTTGACATTTTGTCACCGTCTAGCAACTTATTATCATAAAAGTGCATAGAAGGGAATCGACATATCTCCGGATGCATTCTATACTGTTATTAACCAAAAGAAGAGTGTTAAGGTTGAAATTAAGACATAAAGAGACAATTAACCGGCTTAAATCAATTTAATGAAGCCAATAAACAACCGTCAAACTCTATCGTTTCCATGGAAAGAAAAACTCTTAAGTGGGATTGAATTCATCTGATCTTATTTGATATACAAAAAGTTGAAAAATATCACTCTCACCTGATGGGTAAGCATATGGACAGGGCACCCAGCCCTTTGTAGGCGTTCAAACATGCTACACTCGTATAGAAATTTGCTAGCTACGTTGGAGATAACAGTTGCAGGAAGCTGCTTTGGATCTCCAACCTTTAATGGTAAAATAAACTTATTAGATATTCATAGAACATTCACTAATGTAACAAGAACCATTCTTACCATAATACACTTTGTTCCTCTTGACTTTAACAATTGAAGAGGTATTAGGGTGGCTGGCTCGAGAGCCTGTAAAGTCACAATAGCGAATAATAATGTTAACACAACTGTGACCATTGGACCTCCAGAAAACTATCAAAAGAAAGGAAAGTTTACCTGAGCTGCTTCATCAATCACTACGGCATCAAACAAAGTATGTTCAGATGGAGTACCAAATTTATTGGATGACATAGATTCAGCACACACGCTGTAAAGGTCTCCCCCACAGCCACTTAAAGTTGTTACAACTATTTGAGCTTCTTTTAGGATGGACTTCCGCAACTTATGTCTCAACGCTCTGATTTCATTCTTAGCTTTTCTTTCTTGAGCTTGAACAGCACCAAGATCTTTGTAAATTTTTCTCTTTTGTTCATATAGCCTCCGCAGTCTTATTCCCATTTCAGCATCAGACATAGGCTTATCAGCATCTTTATCATGGCTTTCATCCTCCGGCTTGTCTTTGATATTTGAACTTCCATCATTTAGGTTTGCACGCTTGGCTTCGACGATCTTGATTTGATCAACAACCTTTTCCAAATTAGAGCGCAGAACTGCAGATGAATCAGTAGCCTTATCGTTCTTAATTTTATCTTTTCGCATTCTTTCCTCTGCCAAACGTTGATCAACAATGGTATCAAGAAAAAAGGGCATTGAGTTCGGATGAACAGTTTTCGCATTTCCCACCCTAACAAGATAGGGCTTGTACCTCTTCCCATCCCTTCCATAAAGGCCTGAACCAGATATTCTTGAGACCAACTCATCAACTGCAGCATTTGATTGAGCACAGATCAATACCCTTCCTTTAACAGAATTTTCTGTTACAGTTTTATTAGTTTCCAAGTCGTCAAATAGCTGTCGAGCCAAAGCTGCATCCTTCCATACTTTTACCATAGTCACAGTCTGCCCAGAAGAGCTGGAAGAACTATGATCCAGTTCTGAATTTTCACTACCACTCGTTATGTGTGAAATGGATGCTAGCAAACCACTGATAATTGCAACAATGGTCCGAGTCTTGCCAGTTCCTGCATTAAGAGTTAAAAAAGTATATTAAATGTGTATAGAATATAAGAGTTCAGAATTTCGAAATAAACTTTGGAAGTTTGACATACTAGGTATTCTACTAGTGCATGTTATTGAAACATCCATTATCATTACCAACGGGGAGCATAACTAACCCGGGGGGCCCTGAATAAGGGAGATGTCAAATTCTTTCATCAGGGCTGATGAGCCAATGACAGTATCAATAGCTTGGAGCTGACTCTTATTGAAAGACGACTTCAGTATTTGCTCCAGAGCATGTGGTAGCTTATGTAGACTTGATCTTTTAATTTCATTTTGATGAACAGAATCAGTTTTAGGATCTAAAATCACAGGGAGCACGGGGATATCCTTGATGGATGACAGAGCCTGAAACTCACGAATTTGAGGTGTGATGTTCAGAATGCGACTTGCATGCCACTTGCTACGTTCCAAGAGATTCCTTCTGGCTTGATTCAAACGTGGAGTTGCATTCTGAAGATAAAAGCGTACATGCAAAATGCTTGACCTTCTCTTATCATCCCATTCACGTCCATCCACCTAGAAAAAACCAGAGAACTAAAGTTTAGCAAACGAGTTAATCTGTCACGCAACAATAAATTAAGCCACATAACCAACTAAAGCTTTAAACTATTTGACTGCTTATATAAGGTTGAATATCTAAAAGACCTAGATAGCTTAAAGTATATGCACTCGTGATTACTACTTTATGCCTACACAATTATTTTTTTCTCAAACATCTCTCTTTGGGATGTACCTAAGTTGATACCAAAATGAAGGATAAGATACCTTTCCCATCACGCTAACACCAGGGCTACTGTTTCCTGGATGTTCTTTTGTGAACAAAATCAAGTCATTCTCGGAAAAGCTTTTAGAGTTGGAAGGATCAGTTTCCTCTTGCACAACTCGAACAAAATGAAAGTCATCAACCCTTTCAACCGAGAAAACTGAGAGAATCCCACAGTAGATTTCCTCCAATGAGGATAACTCCTGAAAAGCACTTTGCAACTGTGCTTTAAACTCCTCCAGAACCAAGGGCTGAAAAATCTGCATATACTGCTCAGGAGAATCAAAGCGCGTAGGAACTGCCCTAAACTTTCCAACATTCTGACCATCATCCTTATTTGTTGATGCCAATCCCACAATAGCAAAGTAATCCATTTGTAAAATCTTCCTAAACCAATCTTCAAGCTTTGGCGGTTTGAACCTTTTGAATCCAGCTCCAGGCCTCTGCAGTCGATCAGATCTCTTACTTACAGGAGAACTAAGTTGAATTACTTGCCGTTTAGGAACAATAGGTCCGGGCTTTGCCAGGGACAGTGACTGACTTTTCATAGAATTAAGCGCGGTCTCCAGTGGATCATCCTCAGTATCAAAAATTACTTTCATAGCTGCATTTTTAGTGTTTGATACAGCACTAAACCTAGCCTCACTCGAAGTCCTAGATGATATGGGATCATCTCTAGCATTTTTTGACATATCTCTACTTTCAGTTAACAAAGAATCTCCCACATTCTGCCCGCTTTTTGCTTCCCTATTCATACCACTTGGACGAGCACCACCAAGGTCCCTGACTGAAATGCTAGAACTTACTGTTACAGATCTCTGCGAGGAAACTGCCTTTACAGACTTCGCAGCATCAAGACTAGAGATACTCGTCTTGTTAGAGCCAGTACGAGAAATACTTTTAAGAGACGGAGATGTCACCTTGACATCAAGTTGATCTGACTTCAACAGAGCAGGTAAATCCTTAAGTGCTGTCATCTCTTTCTCACCCTGTGCTAAATCAATTACTCTATCTGGTGCTTGACCAACAATACCTAAAGCTTTGAGGACCTGAGACTCATCTGTCTTTGGAGAATGAAGCTGCAAACATGTAGCTGAGTTATTGCCCTTATCAGGTGCTATGGCCTCAGAGGTGTTGTCTTCAGATAGTAAAATACGAAGCCATGAGATTTGTTCTTTCAACCGATCCATGTCAATTTCATCTGAATTAAGGAAATGGGTACAATTAATTGTGGCATCCAGAACAAAATAATTCTAACTTGCCGATTATAATCTATTCATGCTTACCAGAGGAGAGAAGATTTCTAATAGCATCGACAGCTGAGGCACAAGCATCAATCTTTGATCCTTTTATTAGTACTGCCAACACAGCAGTTAATGCTCGTTTCCAATAAACAACAACCACCTTAAGTTGTGACCTTCCCCAATCAATGAGATCAGGAAGCCATTTGAGATCAGATACATTTTTCCGAATATCCCTGGCAGACTTAGACGCCTCATGACTGAGTTTGAGTCTTCCAAGAATAACAGGAAGAATCTCAAGCAAACGTACGTATGTCATCTGGAAAAATAAGAGAGCAAGATTAATCAGCCTGCTCAGTAAACAAGAACAGCTTTAGAAGAACATTGTCCACCAACTGATGACGCAATATCACTCAAGAAAAGATCATCAAAGGTGGACAATATGGCAAAGCATAAGCAAGGGAAAAAAGTGAGCTAGGAGAACCATTAATGCACACCTGGCAAGTATTTTGATCAATAAAAGCCTTTCCCTCAACTAAGCACTTCTTTGTCGGAGCCCAGGAATCTTCTGATATAATACGGCAGAACTTCTCCACCAATTCTGGGCTGACACTCGACAGACTTCCTTGATCACTCGCAAGCAAAGAATCAAAGCTAGGCTGTCTCAAAAATCCACCAGCCAACATATTCTCCACTCTGACTGTAATTGACGCATCATCTTCTTTCAGCAGCTTGAATAATAAAAAGAAAAAATGGTGCAAAATCTCAAACCTTCGTACACTGAAATCCAATTGGACCTGCAAAAGATCAACCAATACAGAAATAAGTAAAGGTAAGAACACTCATAACTCAGTGACTTATCTTCTTAGGAAAGAGATGAGGAATCACATTCATATTAAAAAATAAACTTTATCAAATATAATTGTGCAATGATGAATGTGGAGTTCCTGCAAAATGTAGGAGAGGGCCAGAAGATTTCCACCAATGTATGGAAAACCGCAGAACTATACTTGCATTCCAAGGCATAAACTTTAAAGTAGGAAGTTGAAGGAAAAAACATTACGGCACCCTTGTGTACCTGCTGTAAAGCATGTCTAACTCCAGCAAGAACAGAAAATAGGTGTAAACTCTGGGAGCAAAGAAACTTCAGACCATGAGACAGACCACTGGTGTTTGAAACTTGTTCCAGCATGGACTTTCCAAATTGTCTTATATTCTGTCAATAAAAAAGACACCAGCACTATGGCTTATCTATGCACAGTTAAACAAAAGTTACAAAACAGAGTGATATCATAAAGTATTAATTTCTTCAGATGGTACCCATCAATCATTCAGATTGTTACTTACATCATCCGGATCTGAAAGAGTGAGGATAAAGCTTTCACCCATCCCCGGCTCCCAGGTCCATTGTTTTCGAAGTTCTTGTCCCATTTGAACCAGAAAGCAAGTGGTCAACCTGCAAAGCCATAATTAATAAGCTTCAATATACAAAAATTTAGAGAGACATTTTAGTGGCTTGCCTTCCCAAAAAACATGAAATGAAAATTACCTCTTTAATGTTCTTATCAAGGGAACACACATAGTCGATACTGCCACTGAGTTTTTGGACTCCTTTCCTTGCCCTCCATCATCAGATCCTGTTGGTACCTTCCACGCCAGAGTAGGTGTGATTTCAACAGCGGAAGACAATAGCCAAGTTTTTATATCAATAGTCATCTCATCACTCCTCTCATATTCCACCAGACAAAAACGGGATCGAGCCCAGAAGACAGCTTTGGAGAACGATACTGGAAGTTTTAGAAGGCTACTACTATCAGCTAATGTATCAATCCAAAGACTTGGGATGCACATCCATTCTCTGCATTCCTCCAGAGTAATTTTGCTCTGACCAGTAAATTCACTCCAGGGACGATTATTGGCTTCTTCAGCGTTTTGGAAAATGTTATCTTCGTCATAGTCCACCTCAACATTTTTGTTATTGTACAGTAGCGAAGCTAGTAGGGCTGTTGAATCAGATACCATGATAGTTTGCATAAGATCAAGAGCAGGTTGCCGTAGTGAAATATGAAGCGAATAATCTTTAAACGAAGACACAAGAGAAGGGCCCCTGTTGTATCAATTAGATTTCCATAAATTATCATGTGTATAGAGAGTATTTTGTTTCAACTATATACAAAAGGAAAAGACAATGAAAAAATAAGCAAGCATAGATTTTCGCAGGACTTACATCAAATACAACATTCAGGAATCTGTTTGTGCACATATAACCAGATGTGCATTATTCTTGTAAAGTCTAAATGTACAAATGCCTATACAAACAGAAACCTGAAAGGTCATACAGATATGCAGACTCAAGTTTGTCTATGTAAAGGGAACACATGATTAATAACCATGTAAATTGAAAGAAGAAGATGTAAGAAATTAAAACAGTCACTTTAATATCCTTCCTGTGAAAACAGATTATGTAACAAAAATCAAAACCCAAGTGAAATTGAAGAAAGCAATAACTCATCAAGTTAAGTAACAAGGGACGACATAAAACAGGAAAATCAAATGAAAAGATAGGTTCTATTTTACTTACCACATGTGTGCACACTCAAAAGGAGGGCAAGGTGGGTTCATCTGGTAACCTCTGTGTACAATAAGAAGAGCAATCTGAAATATGTAGTTTGGTGATATCAGTAAAAATGAGCTAATAAAAACGCCTTTCCAATTGACTTAAAACACCACGATTGCGCTTCAGTAAAAGATAATTAGAAGAACCTTGCGGCCAATTCTTCTTGCTAAATCGCTGAAGTTACTGCTGTTGGGGACCTGGTGGAGGAGAAAGTAAAGAAGGTGTCGACGTTCCTTTTTATGTTCATCAACTTGCAAAGCCTCAAGGGACTGCATAGAAAATTAAGATCTAGTGTTTCATACAAGTAACCCTGAACACAAGGGGAACATTAAACTCGCATTTGATTAATATCCAAAAAACATAGAAAACTTGCCTGTAACAGCGGTAGGAAAAGATCAAAAATGACTTTATGGGTTTTCTCGCTTTGTGTATGGAAACACTGACCCAATAATGAATTGCGCATCACACTTGCAGACAAGGTAGACCTAAGCCAAAGCTTGCAACCTTTAAGAAATCAAATGTGAATGCGTAACCAATATGATATAGTGTGTCAACATAAACTGAATACTCAAAAATGGAAATTTAAATTTATTATTATACCAAGTGTTTTGAACAGTTCTTTCAAACACCTAACGGCCAGGGAAAAATCTGAAGAATCGCCGTTGATATGATTTAGTACTGTATCAACGAAAAAGGGATAGGGCTCCAATATTCCCTCCTCGCACGCAGGAGCTTCTAAGAATTCAAGCCTTTAGAAAACAGTAAACAGTCTAGATCAGCAAACAAAGAAAAATCTTGGGAACCAGTATTTGATAGAAAAATCAGGAGTTCAGTCACCAATTCTCACAATGTTGTCATTCCAAACCATATCGACGAGCGGTCCAGATTGACCCTTGGTTCCTGAGATCCAGAGGGTAAGCCTTCCATTTCTAATATTCCAATGAATTTCTTGAGCAATGGTTGGAAACTCTCCAAGTGGGTTGCTGACCTGTACAAACAGCATACAAATTTCACAACAAATGGCAGGCAACAAAATCGGCTAGCAAAAAACATGATAGACAAAATGTATTCAACAAAATTTTATTTCAAAATACAGCAATAAAATTATAGACAAACAGGAATGCATAGGCTACAATGATTTACATAGTCTAAAGTGATTAAAAAGGAAAATACCTCAATCTCCCCATGGCCTTACCCAAGCGATAACCAATCGCTCGCACTCTCCTATTGAGAAACAGTAGTGCATAGACACCCTAAACGGATCGGATGCAACAAATTACTAAGTTATAGAGATGTTTTCTGCAGTCGGATGCTCGAGAAATTCCCGAAGTAGTATCATACCGGAAATTGTTGATTATCAGCAAGTGCAAGCTCGTGAACTTTGTCGATCGACTCAATGAATTTCTCAAACTCAGAGCACAAGGACTGATCATCAAACAAGATTGGAAACATCAAAACCTGACGAAAAAACAAAGAAAAATTAGATGTCAATCTCAAGCTGGAAAGAAAATAAATTATAAAGATTAAAATGAACCAAAACATACAAATAAAAGACATGGGTAAATAAAACTATGAACTATGAAGATCAAACAAAACAGTGCTATGAGAGATAAACACCAAAGAAAACAAACCAACAAGTCAGGAATCACACAAAAGAATTCAGACCACAAGATAGTACAGTACCTCATACATTACATTCACAACTTCTGCATAATCATGTTCTGGATCATATGTATTTCCTTCTAATTTTGAATTAACCCCTTGCAAGTGTCTAGTCACCCTGTCTTTGTCGAGTTTCCTCAACACAGTAAGAAGTGGACCTACAGAGGCAAACTCGTACTCTTTTTCATACATCTCCTGAGTCTGATGGTGCTGAGAAATGCAATTGACACAAAGCCTCATTTCATCAGTCACTCTCTTCCACAAGAGCTTGAGAGGCGAATCATCTCGATCATCTTTGAAGTAATGGTAGAATGTCTCCAGAAGAGGCCCCATTACATCCCCATTCTCGCACCATATATGAGTATCTTTTGGCAAAGATACCAAGAAATTGAATGCGTCCATAAACCTAAACAAGGCAACGAAAATGTAAGGAGAAACTATTAAAAGACCATCCACAAAATTTCTGAACTAAATCTGATTCACAAAGGGCCCTCCCTATATGCCACGGAAATGGTTTTACGAAGCTTTAAACACAGTCAACAGAGCAGGACAGATCGTCCTCATACCACACGAACTACCAAATTATTCCACCTCACAATCGCGAGATTCTACAGACTATGACAAATTTTCTCGGACTATCAAAAAAAGCTAGCCTTGAACTTTTCCGCTCCTTTCAACCAAACAAGCAATACACAGTTATTCAAAATTAACAGAACTGTATCAATCGAAAACTGCCCCGCCGAAATTCACTCCAAAGAACACATGCAATTGTCTGAATCCTAATTTCACCGGAACTGATACAGAGCGACAGTGAGAACCATTGTTCTTTCCGTTGGTTGAGGCGCTGTAAAGTCAATGGATCAGAATCTTCGTCTTCTTGCCTCTCGTCCTCGATTCTTCCCAGCCGGCTCAAGAGCTCGCCTCTCGACGGAGCTTTACTCGACATTGTTTCCTCCCAATCTCTATCACTACAGGAAACGCAAAAACAAGCTTCGAGAGCAGAAACCCTGGAGATGGAAATTAGGGTTTCTGATGAAGAATGTGAAAGAAAAAATGGATTTTTTTTTACTGCTCGATTTTCTTCAAGAAACCCCCTTTCGTCGGCTTGTTTTGGTGTAGAAGGCAAGGCGAGAGAGGGGAAACACTGATACGACTACGACGCCGTTTTATAGAGCGCGCGCCTCGGAACATAGGAAGCAATAAAACGACACCGTATATATTCTCTTTTCTCGCTTATTGTTGATTAATTAATCGAGCAAAATATAAATTGGAATATCGGATTGGGCCTATTGGGCTTTCATTAAATGGGCTTGTTTTATTTCGTGTTTTTAATTTTTTGGATTAAAAAAAAACAAAAACACAAAATCGACGGCTTCTCCGAGTTCTCTTGCGTTCTGCGATTCTTCTTTCGATTTCAGGTGGACAATTCGATTTAGGGTTTCAATACGTGTTTCTGCTTCAATTCGTAGTGATTTGGATTCTCTTTTGATGTTATCTCTACGGAATTTGTGAAGAAAATACTTCAGTGTGTGAATATTCGTTGTTTGTCATTACTGTGGATATTCTCTCGTCGATAGATCTACGGATTCCACGAAAAATTGGAACTTGTTTGATTCGTAGGTTTTGATATGTCTGTTAGATTAGCTCGATTACGGATTAGCTCCATAAGCCGAAGCTCGTTGCTCTGAGCGGGAGATGGAGATTACTTTATGGTACTGTTGAGCTCTTGTTTGCTGAATGCTTTGGTCGTATGGTTGTTCATGGATATCGTGTTTATAGTTTGTACAGAGAGCGTAGTGACATGGACTTACTGTATAGTTTTTCTTACTGTAAGTGTCTGCAACTGGAGTATCCTTGTTTCTTACAGTGAGTGTCTGCAACTAAAGTTTTCTCCTCTTTCATCAATATAACAGAACTTTTGTTTTCAGTCTTGCTCATAACCCATCAATGATAAGCTTCTGCTTCGGTAGATTGAAAGTTCAAAGCTTTCCATTTGGGGTTATCTTTCTCCTGTCAACGAGATTATCTAATGCATAACTTGATTATCTAATACATACGTTGTAAACGTGTGTAACAGTTAGCAGGCAGACATGTCTGCATATGATAATGTTGTTGGGGGGAAGCTAAAACTAAAAGGGAAGGCTTTGGATGTGAGAGCGGGTGGGGTGAAGAAGAAAAAGAAACAGAAGAAGCACGAAGAACAATCTGGTAAAAAACTCAGTGAACGTGAACTCCTAGAAGGTACATTACACGATAAGCAACCATCGTTTCTCCAAAAGTCCATACTTCATTCATGAAAAGTTGGCCTTGCATCTGTCTCGTATTATTGGCATTTAATACCTTTGTTACGGGTTTTTTTGCATAGGAGAGGGGGCAGGAGCATCGGATGAAGCCAATGAGGAGGAAGAAACGGTTGACAAGTCAGCTGGGGATGATAAACCGCTGCATTGCGATGACCAACTAACACCTGCAGAGAGAAGATACATAGAACAGAGGCAGAAACTGGATGTGAACAAATTGGCAAAGGAAGCAAACAAGTCTCATCGAGACAGGATTCAGGACTTCAATCAGTATCTCGCCAACATGAGCGAGCACTATGACATCCCCAAGGTCGGACCCGGTTGATTGATGAATTCTTCCTACAGGAATCTCTGCTATCTCTCTGTCATCTGTCGTTATGGTTATGGAAACTGCTCTTTTGCTTTTTGCCTTAGATGTTGAATTTGTGTCTCTCTCTACCATTTGAGCTTGGGAATATATACCCCGCCAAATCACTTGACATGTACTATGCATCAATGCTATTTTAGTGTTGGGAACGAAAGGATGGGTCTTGCCTGTTGGAAAAAAGATAGATTTAGAACATGAGTAGTTCCCTTTGGCTCAAATAAATTGTCGTATATGACTTTATTCGTAGGATTCACCAAACGGAAAGCAAGAGGAATAACTAAACACTCTTAGATAATGGCAGATTGGAGCAATAGCCAGAGCCAAATGATCCCTCGAGGGTTTCTGAATACAATGCCACTTATTGAACTTCAGTACAACAACAACATCAACAAACATTACATTACCTTCGCCTGAACCTTATACTATAGTCAAGAAACAAGGAATGAACTCATAAACAGAAATCAAACATATTACACAGGCAAGTACAGCTGTGATCACAGCCCAGCTCGATAACCGATAAATAAACTCCGACCGCGAATAATCGCTCAAAACCCGGATGAACCTCTTCCTCAAGGGGTCAGATTCACTTGGGGAAGTTTTAAATTTCCGGAACTGCTTATCGAGTTTCATCCTCCAGTGCACGGAAACCGGCTGTCAGATCCTCGTGCAGCTTCTTGAATTTTGCGACAAGTGCTTCCTCACCCTCAGCTGGGTCCTCAAACTTCTGAGACCTGCGGTTTGATGAACAAAAAAACGGGATTAAAATGCTTTCAATCCATATGTTCTGGATGTATAACAATTCAAACCATCCTACAGCCTGACCATAGAGCAGAGTAACTGAGGATGAATGTGTTCAAGTGAACAAATCTTGGTAATGTAATCATGTGCTATAATGACATCAAATGTGGATTTACCATGAGAATAGAAAAAAAAAATCATGGAGATACGATGAGAGTATGTGAATTTGCTTACACTAAACGGTAGAAGAGATCTCCCAAACGATGCTTGATGAGACTGTAAGTAATCTTTTGGCCGTCCATGCCAGCTGCTCTCTCAACCCCCTGTGCGTATCAGAAATACAATTGACATTAGAGAGCCCAAGCAACACTCGATATTTGATGTTGGGGAGGAAACATGCTATCACAATTACCCCCACAAAACGAACAACTACCACAGGCATGGGAAATACAGGAATAATTTATAATTAATGATCCATCTTACCTGATTAGCCAAGTTGTAGAAATGAATAATGTTGCGCATCATCCAGACAGATTTGTAGAATGGGCAGAATTTATCATATCTGTCACTCATCCATAAAAACACACAGTAACTGCTCTGTATCTCGTTGGAAAAAGTAAAGGACCAACTACTATCAGGAAAAAAAATAATAATAAAGAGAATCTTACGGTGTGAAGGCATTCTGGGCAAGATAGTCTTCCCTCAATAGCTTAGCCGTTTCCAGGGTGATCTTGTCTCCTTCAGCCAGAGCATCCTTTCCTACAAGCTGTAGCCAGAAAAAGTCAAGGCCTTAGGATCAGGATGTTGTTTCAGGAAGTCTAAACCTAATCAGATTGATTTCCTTCTAGAATCTGAGTCGACAGTACAGTGGGTCAAATGCGACCTTAAAAAACCTTAAGGATTAATCTCAAAACGTACTTGGAATGATGACAAGGGAAGATTGTATATCAGTTTAAGTCATGAGAAACATATACCTGGACAATTTCATTGAGATCATCTTCTCTCTGCAACACCTCACGGGCCTTTGTCCTGATGTTGATGAAGTCCGGATCAAACTTCTCGTAGAAAGATTCCAACGCCTGAAAAACCAAGAATCTTTTTACTTACACAAAAGAATGAGAACAATAGACGAAGTATCAGACAATAAGACAACCATGAATATTACCGTTGAGTATTTCGAGTACGAAATCAGCCAATTAACAGAAGGGAAATGCTTTCTCTGTGCAAGTTTTTTGTCCAAACCCCAGAAGACCTGCAGTGAAAAGCAAACAAAATAAATTGGTAAACATATCAAAGTTGGGGGGAAAAAGCATACCAGGTGTCTGACTCTTGAGTCTACCACCTTTATCAAGAGCCGTACATATATAACAGGACAAAAAAACAACCACAAGTACTATATTTACCTGTACAATGCTAAGGGTTGCAGAAGTCACAGGATCAGAGAAGTCTCCACCAGGGGGAGAAACGGCACCAACAATTGTGACACTTCCACTACGTTCCGGACCCCCAAGACATTTCACTTTACCAGCACGTTCGTAAAATGATGCCAGACGAGCTGCCAGATAAGCAGGGTATCCACTATCGGCAGGCATTTCAGCCTAAAAAACAAATAATTCAGATACATATAGAACAGAAAAGGTGAGGATCCATGCAGCCAAACTGAAACTGAAATCATTACCAGACGTCCAGAAATTTCTCTCAGTGCTTCTGCCCAACGAGAAGTTGAGTCTGCCATCATACTAACATTGTAGCCCATATCTCTAAAATATTCAGCAATAGTGATCCCTGACATTCGTATTATAATAAAGCTAAAACTTGTCAGAGGAGTCATAACCGAAGAGTTTGATCGGCAACAAGAAAGAAATCAGCTTCTTCACAAGCAATGAAACCAATATGCTTCAGATGGATGCCTAGAGGTTACCTGTGTAAATTGAAGCTTCACGAGCAGCCACGGGCATGTTAGAGGTGTTGGCTACAAGTGTTGTACGCTTCATGACAGACTCCTCACGGCCATCAGGCAACGTCATTGTCAATTGTGGGAAATCCATAAGCACCTAAATTGAAATAGACCATCAAACCAAATTTCTACTATTTCTGAAGTTACAAGCACTGGCACATTAAGATTGAGACAAGAATATACCTCAGCCATTTCATTTCCTCGCTCTCCACAACCAACATAGACAACAGCATCAGAGTTGGAGTACTGCGTATAAGAAGAAATTAGCTCAGGCAGGTAAACAAGTCCGATTACTGAATGAAAAAGACCAATATCGGGCCATGAAACCTACCTTTGAAAGTGCCTGACTGATAACAGTTTTCCCACAACCAAAAGCACCAGGAATGGCACAAGTTCCACCAAGAACAGAGGGGAAAAGGGCATCAAGGACACGCTGAAATCACGGAAAAAGCTATCAGCCAACAACACCTTCAATGAAAACAATCACCGTCAATATGAAGCATTTACCTGTCCAGTCAGTAGAGGAGTATCGGCTGCAAGCTTTGATGCAACGGGCCTAGGTGTACGTACAGGCCAGGTCTGCAACAAATTTCAGAAGCAAAACCAATTTACTATATGGAACAGAATAGCTCTAAAATTTTGAGCCTAGGTGTAGGAACTAGGAAATCTAAAAAAACCACAACAAAACCTGAAGCATAGTGAACGACTTCTTCACCCCCTGGAATTCAAGCTCAAGCACGGTATCCTGCAAAATGAAAATAACAGTCAAAATGAAATCCAAGGATGAGAAAACAACAACTTACTCGTGAGAACCATGACCGCACCATTAGCTATATATTAACTCAACATTAAAAAGGAATGTATTCCAGGGGGAAAAAATAAGACATTTAGAAATACATCCCTAAAAAATGTCGGTGTAAAAAAAGAGTTTTAAGACATGTTCACAGAAGCTGAACAACAAACCTTAAGGGAATATTGACCAGCTGGAGCAATGTAAGTGATCTTCCCCATGGCATCAGGAGGAAGGGCAACATGGTGTTGCATCAAACTGTTCTCAAAGACGGTCTGCATTTCAAAGGTTTCTTCGACTCTCAAAAAACCCATTTCCAGCGCAGAACAACAGACACGCAATAGTGATTCATTTTCAAACAATAGAAGAAAGAAGGGACCAATATACTTACAGCATACAAGTCACCACCAGTTATAGTGTCGCCCTCGCCTGCAACCAAGTTGAATTTCAGAACCATCAAGCTTCAAAAGGTAGGACACTGTGACCATTTCCAACATAGCTACAAATGCAGCATGAAATAATACCTAGTTTAGTTGGCTGGAACTCCCAAAGTGCATCTTTGTCAAGAGCCGGAACAGATACACCACGAGGGATGTACACATCACCAGATCTCTTTGCAATAGTCTTCAGAGGCCTCTGTCAAATGAAAATAAATGACACAAAAAAGAAAAAAACAGTATAAAGCCAATTCAATCATCAGTAACACCCTCCGCCAAAAATAAAGCACAAAATTTCATATATCAGACAAGATTCTAATTTCCAGCTGAACCTGAATTCCATCAAAGATATTTCCCAGAATTCCTGGTCCAAGCTCGACTGATAGAGGCTGCAAGTCCAGACAAAACTATGAGCTACTTGTAGATCAATCACCACCACAGAGACAAAAGCCAAAATGAATGTGGCAAACCTTGTGTGTCCGAAGGACAGGATCATTAACCATCAAACCAGCTGTCTCCTCGTAAACTGACAACAAAGTTTCCCATCAATTATGAGATCTTATATATGCAAAACCACATTACAAACGTTTGATCCAACAGCTTATTGAAACAGGTGACAGCATGCATTAACCAATAGCTATCAGAACGATGATTAAGCAAACCATATGACAAAGCACAAGAACAAGATGTAACCTTGGATTGTGGCAGAATCTCCCTCCAGCCTAATAATTTCACCGATCAATTTATCATGCCCCACACGCACTAGTTCGTACATAGCAGCACCAGCCATACCATCAGCGACAACAACAGGCCCTGAAACCTGCATCACAGTACTTAAAAGATTGTCAATCTGATTGCCTGAGCAGTGACTCGAACAGGAAAACGGTCAAATCACTGAAAATTTATGAATTCAAACACATCCTATGTTGATCAAAGATTCACACAGAAGTTACTTAACCAAACGAATCAACCTGTTCATCCCGACAAAAGAATAGCAAAAACAAGGACACCAAAATCGCAGACATATCCAATTCTCCACAGATCTCAACCGTTATCTCCATGAAAGTATATATTGATCCGCACAGAGACCCAAGTCATGAATAAACCAAAAAATTAAACCAGATCAACGAATAGTTTACCTTGCGAACATAACCATACTCGCTCTCCTTCTCGGAATCCTCGAAGGTGGTGAGCTTTCCTCCGTAAAACGCCGGCATTTTCTCAGACAAAGACAACCCGAGATTCGGATACTCGAACCCGATCAGACGAAGAAACAAACTTCAACTCCTGAATTCCGAGATCCGATCAACAACGAAAAACGAACAATAAGAAATCAGCGAAAACAAAAGAGAGATCGAACGAAAATCAAAAACCCCCCACCAACCAAGGTTTTGAAATCGAACTACTCGAAGAATTAGAAGGCCAGTGAAAGATCAGAAATGGAGAGAGATCATACCAAGTGAAGAAACAGGAGGAGTGGTCACAACACGAGAGCGGGTGCACGTACAATGACAGACTTGAAGGAGTTGATCTGATTGACGAAACAGGAAAAAATCCAGCGCGTGCAAACACATGATAAATCCTCGTGAGATCCTCTGTTTGGACGCCACGTGGCGCGTTATCATGGGCCAGCATATTATCTCGACTGTCACCGAGCCCATGAAGAAAGCCCGTTCAGTCGGTCGTTACGATCCAAATCATTTGGGTTTACTGCACAATTAAAATAATATGAATTCAAATAAATTAATTTAAATTTCTAAGCAGCCATTTTGATGCAAAGTTTAACTTCTTTTTTATTTTTCACCAACTTATTTGAGTTTATATTTCGACGGTTTAGATGTATAAAAAAAATAATCTAATTTATTTTCATGTTATAATCATTTAGCATTTTGGTTCGATTTTCGGTTTATGTATAATAATAGATACGTAATACCGGATTTCAAGAATTTATAAATTGATCTATAAGCAATGCTGGGTCGGATGAATGCGTTAAATAATAAATTTACTTGGAAAAAGTAAAATGCTTTCCAAAGAAATAACCAAACCAGAGGAAAAACCGGAAGTAAACCGAAATACAAACATATTTTCTTCTCCTGTCACTGGGACGAGACTTTGGCCAAAACCCTTCTCTCCTCTCTCTCGTCCTGTATTCTAGATTCTCCCCTCGAACAAACCTCGGTTTCCCGGAAAATACTCACTTTCCTGGGAAATTCGCCTCATGGTTTAAGTCTCTTCTCCGCCTTCGAGTAGTTCCGTACCATCGTTCTTTATGCGCGGGTAAAATGCTATGGAGATCCAATCTGACCACGCGGCACATAAGACACGGCGGAAAAACCCTCAAGGCACTGGGTTTTCTCTCCTGTTATCACAGTTCACCGAAGGTTAGTGAAACCCTCGAATTTTCTCGGGAAAATGCTAACCAAGACGGTGGATTTCAGGGAGTTTCTGTAAAGCCACTCAAGCATGATACGGTGAATTCTGTGCTAAGAAACTGTCCTTCTGATTTGCTTGCCCTGAATTTCTTCATGTGGTGCGCCAAGCAAAACAATTACTTTCACGATGCTCGAGCAATCGATTACATGGTCGGTGTTGTTGAGAAACTAAGTGTTCGATTCGAAGGCGTTAGAGGAATAATAAGGGGATTGGAAAGCGTCAGTTGTGTCATAAAGCCTCAGGTTTTCTTGCTGTTGATGAGAATCTTTTGGCGTGGAGGAATGTATGATAAGGTCTTCGATGTTTACGAAGGCATGCGTGATTTTGGTTTTGTGCCCAATACATTTGCTGATAATGTGGTCATGGATGTATGTTTCAAGCATGGTTGTGTTGATAAAGCCATTGAAGTTTTGAAGGAAACCCCGAACCCTAATTTCCTGAGTTTTAACATTGCATTGGATAATCTGTGCAAGATGGGTGATTTTGTTAATCTTAAGGTTGTTATTAGGATGATGATGAGGAGAGGTTTCTATCCTAATACCGTGACTCTGGCAAATATCCTCAATGGATTCTGCAAAGCAGGAAATGTCGCCGAAGGCTTTCAAGTTTTGGGCTTGATGATTCATTTGGGGATTTCTGTTTCTGCAAATGTTTGGAGTATGTTGATTAACGGTTTTTTCCGTTCAAGACAACCTCGGAAGGCAGCCAAGTTGTACAATAAGATGCTCGAGACTGGTTGCTGCCCGAGTATTGTGACCTATACCACTTTGGTTAAGGGGTTTTGGGAATGTGGGATGACTAGTGATGCTGTTCGTATGTTGAATACTGTGAAGTCTAAAGGATTAGCTCCAGATATTGTTCTTTGTAATGTCATGATAGATTTATTCACAAAGATGGGAAGATATGACGATGCTCTTGACGTTTTCGGCAGTTTGTCAGAACAGGAACTTGTTCCGGATAGATATACGTTTTCTTCCATAGTATCTAAGACATGTTTATCCCGAAGATTCGATCTCTTGGAAATGATTGGTAATGGCACTGCAATAGAATTAGATCTGGTTGCCTGCAACTCGTTTTTAAACTATTTTTACAAGACCAGGGATCCATCTTCTGCTGTGAAGGTATACAAACTCATGACAGAAGCAGGTGTTACTGTGGATAGCTATAGCTTTGTTGGAGTGTTGTATGCTCTTTGTGGAGAAGGAAGAGCTTCCTATGCCATTAATGTATATAATGGATTGGTGAAGAATTACCCTCGTCTTGTCGATGCTCATGTTCACACTGCTATCATCGACGGGCTAATAAAGCTCAGGAAATATGACCATGCAGAACACTTGTTCAGACAATGCATCTTGAAGAAATACCCCATAGATGTTGTGTCCTACACAGTAGCCATCCGGGGACTTGTCTTGTCAAGAAGGATCGAGGAAGCATACTGTTTGTTTTGTCGGATGAAAGAATCGGGTGTTTCTCCGAATGCAAGAACCTACGAGACTATCATCTGTGGTTTATGCAAGGCAAAAGACACCAAGAAGGCCAAACGATTATTACGAGAACTTGTGAAGGAAGGGATGGAAATGAATCAAGATACTTTGATCAGAGTGTATGAACTATTGTCTAGATCACGCCAAGGGTTCTTAGAATTCAGCTGGCTCTTCGAAACCTGGAGTTCGGGTACAATGAAAAGCTTAGGCAATTCTAAACCTGGGTTTGTCAATGTGGATTCTAGCATTGTAAGAGCCAAGAATGGTGACCCTTCAGCATTGGATGATATGGTAATGGATGCATGTAGGGTTGATGATTGGTCGGATATGGCTGCTTCAGCCGGTTGAGTTTAAGAAAAAAACACTTACAAACTCAGCTTTCTTTACCATGATGGCCTCAGAAGCGACATGGCAGAAACACAGCTTTCTTTAACATGGCCTCAGAAGCGGAAATGGCTTATCTGGGCTACCACGGCATGTCCATCCAGTTTTTACTCCTAAAGGTACAACTTAGAAAACCCACACACTCGATTCTACTTGCTTTCCTTCTCTGCATAGATAGATAGATAGATAGATAGATAGATACGGGCTTTTGTGAATTGACTTGTGTTGTATTGGTGTTTATTTGTCAGAAGCTGACACGATTTGGGTGGGAATGGGAAGTTTTATGTTCTCTTGCATTTTGTTGTATCATATTGAATTGATCAAATCCATGTTTACTGTGGTTTTTCGCTATGAAATGCATGGACTTTCATCATTGATGTCCTAAGGGAGTTAGTTCCTTCCTCGTCCGGGTCGTAATTGAGTCTTAATGAGCAGTTTGCTCCAAAGTAAACGCTTCTCTTGAGAATATATCCTTCAACTGATCCTTTCTTCCTATGTTCTTCCGTTTAGTTCTTACTCCGTGAATCTTCAATCTTTTTGTGGAGTAAACCAAAAAGATTTACAAAGAACCAAACCCTCTGTTTTTCTGTCATTACAGATACTGATGCTTAATTACAAGCACCCGTATGCTTCACTTTGCCATGTGGGTTTCAACTTTCAACGAGAAAGATTTACAGTCTGTTACTTGGTGTCATGACGTGAGTTACATGCAGATCCAATGAATAAGCTCTGCAACTCCATTGGCAACAGACAAAATCATGCAAACCGGTACAAGTGGTTTCCCCATTACCGTTCTGACCAGAAACCAGTTTCTCCGACCAAAACACGGAGAAGAAGATCTCGAGACATGATTCAGTAGATCGATGGAGATGAAAACGACAAGAATTTACTCGATTTTCGCTCTTTCGAATGTTCTCTCTCTCTCTCTCTCTCTCTCTCTCTCTCTGTTCTGTGTTTCCGTGTAAGAATAAGATCAGTGAGGTTTTTGCCGGCGGAGAGGGGCAGGTGGGGACATGACACGTGTCTGACGTGTGGGGGCCAGAAAACGACAAAAGACAGTCGTGGGGAGGCGGGCTTGCGTAGCATCCGAACGTGCACACGTGTACTGTTGCTAACTTCCATATCATTTCTAAACTAAAGCAGGTGTTTTAAATAAACCGGTTTGGTTCGGTCAAATTATGCAATCACACTAAAATCCCGGGTTGTTTCTGCAATTATGCATACCGGATCGAATTGCTTTGGTTATGATATAGTGCATGAGGCTCACACTTGTTTTAAACAAATATAACATGATTGTAATAGAAATGATTAAAAAAAATATTTAAAATATTCAAAATTGTAAAATAATTAATCCAAACCAACTAACTTTGATGTTTATATGTAGCTTTGGACAATGAAATGGGTTAATATCCATATAACAAATAGGCAAATGCTTGTGTTAGTTTTGCTTTTATCTGTCCGTTTAGACATTTCAATATTATGGTTCGTTTGTACCAATTGCCTATGAATAATTATGACAATATATTTTGTTTTAGAAAATTTTAATATACATATATATAATAGAATTGAAATTAAACACAATAAGTTTTATTTGATAATTTTAATAAATTAAATTGAAATTCGAGACTACGCATAATGGTGTTATGTAGTTTATGTTTATAACATGCAAAAATATAATAATATATTTGTATAATTTTCGGGAATTATGATATACATTTGAAACAATTAGTTATAACTGTTGAAAATTTTAAATTATATAACACATTATAAATTTTAATGACTCAATATAACTATGTAAAATGCAGAAAATTGTAATTTTATATTTTCCTTTTCTATAAAATAAATATTTAAACGTGTTAGATGAAATTGATAAATGGTGTTATAAATTGGGGAGCATTTGATGTGACCAATCATTATAGGTATATTTCACTTGACGTAAAAGAAAAGCCTTTTATATAATATGGCAAAACAAAGACGAACCAAAATTATGTAAGGCCTCAAAAGACATATTCATATTACCGTATATATATATATATATATAATTGAGTATTATTGAATTCAGATAGCGACAAATCTAATCGCCAAATAAATATAGGACATAACAGATAATCTAGAAATAAATTATTCCGGTTTGATGAAATATATTACCGGAAAACAATAATTCAAAATAAAATTAAAATAATCGCTTAAAGACAGCGAATTTGTCCTATATTTGTCAATTAAATCGCATCTTATAATTTGTGTCCTGAACTTGCAAAACTTGAACAAAAGTAAGTTTAATAATATACGATTATTTAAAATTAAATATAATTTAAAAATAATTCTAAAAAATCAATTAATAAACGTTTTCTTATTTAGCTCAATTTTCCACATCCGACAGAAACGTCCGCTTTATACACAGCACAGCAGTGATGAATATTAATAATAATAATAATAATAATAATAATAATAATAATAATGTTTATTGATGCAATTATACAAGGAAGTGAAATTTATGTATATAATCCAAAATTTTCGCCTTCAGAAAATTTGACGGAGACAGTAAAACAGACTAACAGAGTGTCCTTCCACCTTTCTCCGTCAGTTTGGTGGACAATAATTTTTTTTTAAAAAAAAAATCTTAGCCCTTTTAGAGAGAGAGAGAGAGAAAAGAAAAGAGGAGAGGAGAGAGAGGGACAACTCACCAGTTGTTGCGGTTCAAAGCGATCGAGATCGAGATCCACACGGAGACGGAGAGAGCGCTATGGAGATGGGATCTCAACTTATCGACTGTTGCTTCAGCTTAGTCTTGTTCTATTACTCCGCGAAATGCAACTACTTTCCCTGATAATTTTCTCGGCGTCCAAACAGGGCTCCATTTCCTGCCTCCTTGCGTTTTTCTCACTCACTCTCAGGTACCAATCGCCGCCGTCTCTTTCCATTCCCCTGTTTAGATTGTCAGCGAGTGATCGTTTGTTCCATTTTGAGATTTAGGTCGTTTTCCGTTTTCCTTCTGGTATAATATCTTCTGGGTTTTAGGGTTGCTTTGGTTTTTGGCTCGAAATCCCGATCTGGGTTCCGATTTTTACTCTATTAGTTCTCCATGCTTTACTATTTTGAGATTTTTTCCATATTTTGTCTGAGTATGTACTCAATTTGCTTCTAATTTTGGAGATCTTGCTGGTCCTCGCAAGTAGTTCCTAGGTTTCAAGTGATTTGCAGACCGATAATCCTTGGCTATTGGAAATGGTCATTAGGTTTTTGGTTTTTTCTGGTCCTGGCGCAATGGATTCTCGATAAATTTCTCTACTTTTGGTCCCTCCGATTCATAAGAATCGATTTTTGAGAAACTTAATGTAATTTAAGACAGCATTTCATCTGAAACGGTGTTGTAGCCCGTTTGATGCAGCAGACTCAGTGGTGTTGGATCTATTGGTTTGAGGTGGTGGTGCGGAAAAAGAGTAATTTTTTTTGGCTCAAAGCGACAGCTAATTATCCTTTGTCGTTAATTCCATATCCATTTGAGAAACTTATTCGGTTCTTGTATTTCCCTTCTATTTCTACAATTTTCCGACTTGACCGTGTGGCGTGTGTTTTATTTATTAACTTAACACAGGTCGTTAGCTTTTGCTTCCGCATACACAAACCTTTCTTGGTGTTTCTCTGATTTCTTCCTGTTTGTTCCTGCAGGACTTTGAAATCCTTAGGTTTCAGCATATTGCTTTCGGTGGTCGTCTAGTGCCTTATTCTGGGTTTTCTTGAGGAAACCAAATGGGTTCAAGATATCCATCTCACCAGCTCAGCAATGGGCTGTTTGTTTCTGGTCGGCCAGAACAGCCCAAAGAAAGGACTCCAACAATGAGCTCAGTAGCCATGCCCTACACGGGTGGTGACATCAAGAAATCAGGAGAACTGGGGAAGATGTTTGATATTCACACAGATGGAACTAAATCAAGGAAGTCTGGCCCCATACCTGGTGCTCCCTCAAGGACTGGCTCATTTGCAGCGGCTACACAGTCAGGTTCCAATGTGCCTAATGCCACCGGTCGTATGTCTGGCTCGTTAGGTTCTGCTGGGTCTGCTTCAATGAAGAAAACAAACTCTGGGCCTTTATCTAAACATGGAGAGCCTTTAAAGAAATCATCTGGCCCTCAATCTGGTGGTGCCACACGACAAAATTCTGGTCCTATACCTGTACTTCCAGCCACAGGTCTTATAACATCTGGGCCCATTACATCTGGTCCGCTGAATTCCTCTGGGGCGCCTAGGAAGGTATCTGGTCCTTTAGATTCGTCTGGTTCAATGAAGATACATATGTCTTCTGTTGTCCACAATCAGGCGGTAACGACCCTTGGCCCAGAAGATGATTTTTCTTGTATGAAGAGTTTCCCGAAGCCCGTGCTGTGGTTGGTGGTTCTTATATTTGTGATGGGTTTCCTTGCTGGCGGTTTTATTCTTGGAGCAGTCCACAATCCAATTCTCCTCATCGTTGTCGCTGTCCTGTTCACAGTAGTCGCTGCACTGTTCATTTGGAATATTTGTTGGGGGAGACGTGGTATCACAGATTTCATTGCTCGATATCCCGATGCTGATCTTAGAACTGCTAAAAATGGTCAATACGTGAAGGTCACCGGGGTAAGTATCCAAGCACTGCTTGCGAGTTTTCCTTGTTGTGACAGTGATGCAAGATAAAATGTATTCAGGTCACTGGAGTGGTCATTCGTGACTTCTTTTGGTTTCACGGGAATGCGGTTTAGGATCAGATATGTCACTGAAAGCATGCTATAGTTCTTTATGCATTTTGGGAAAAGTGCATACCTTTTAAAGTACTACTGAGCTTGCGAAACAAAAATTGGCTCGCATGACATATTATGGAAGGATAAACTGATCAATTCCATTGAGTTGTCAGGATGCATTTAGAATCTGTTAGCCATACTTACTCTGGTTATAACCTTACTTCTGTTTTTATTGATGAAGGTGGTCACCTGTGGTAATGTGCCGCTTGAGTCATCCTTCCACAGAGTTCCCAGATGTGTGTACACTTCCACCTGTCTGTTTGAGTACCGTGGATGGGGTTCAAAACCGGCTAATTCCTCCCATCGCCGATTCACTTGGGGATTGAGATCAGCTGAGGTTAGTGGCCCAAATATCTTTCGTGTTTTTTCAAATATTCTAGCTGATTTTAACGCTTCCCAAGGAAGAGAGAGAAATGGAGATCAAGTGATTATCTTGAATATTTCATTTCGTAGAAGATGCCATTCCTACCTTGAGCTATCACAAGGCAAAACTTCATATGTGAACGCCTCAAAACATGTACATGTGTTCTCCTACTCTATGCAGAGACATGTGGTAGATTTCTACATCTCTGATTTCCAATCTGGACTCAGAGCGTTGGTCAAAACTGGGAATGGTGCCAAAGTTACTCCTCTTGTTGATGATTCTGTTGTCATCGACTTCGAACCTGGAAGCGAACAAACATCCCCCGACTTTGTGAGGTGGTTGGGCCAGAAGAATCTGTCTAGCGATGATCGGATAATGCGGCTTAAAGAAGGGTAAAGAATCTCTCCTATTGATGAATACACTTCAAATAGTTTAGAAAATATAAGAGAATATATAGGCGATACACACTAAATTCAATTGGGTAACGTTGGATACATTCCTTGGCCAAGCCCTTACCTGCAACACTTAAGAACATCGATGGGCTGGGGGGTACTCGAAACGATAATATATTTTTGGTCTGAGCACTTTTCGATTCAAGTATTAAACTGTCTTGAAAGGAGTAGCTCTCTGAGGTGTGATGGGGCGATAAGCACTACTGCAATGATTCGCAGAGTAACTCCTAATGTTGTGAGGGATATAAAAACAATGTCGGGAAATTCTTTTTCAGGTATATAAAAGAAGGAAGCACGGTGAGTGTAATGGGGGTGGTGCAGAGAAACGATAACGTGCTAATGATAGTGCCACCGGCAGAGCCACTGGCAGCCGGGTGGCAATGGAGGAGGGGCACATTCCCCGCCAGCCTCGACGGCGTTGTGTTGAGATGTGAAGACTCATCTAACGTCGATGCCATACCTGTGTAGTAGTAATCCCCATTCTCTCTCTCTCTCTCTTCCCTCTTGGTCGCAGGTGAAATCATCACACTCTTCACTCAGGTTTCATTACATTTTTCATGAATCTGGGGAAAGTTCCTTGATGTGGGGGTTTCGCTTTGCTCTACCGATTCGTCCTGGTTGATATGGTGGTGTTTTTTTTTTCTTTTTTGTAGTGTTTTTAATTTTTCAAGTTATTACGGTTAGGATGATGGATGATGTTTCTCTAAGATGAATGATTTCTTGTCTCGCCTTCGTCTTTGTCTTTTTGCCTTTTGGTTTGTATAGCTCTTCAGAGGCATTCTTCTTTTACTTTTTTTAAATTCTGGACAGGAACCTTTGCGTCTTCTCTAAGGGTGTTCATCTGTGTTTCTCCTTTTCCTAAAACCTTCTGGTGAAACGAAACACACCCACCACTCTTCGTGTTCGTTTGGGGGGAAAACAAACATATTCGTTATGCTTTGTTCATTTTTTTTTTTGCTTACATTGTTATTATTACTTTCTCTTCTCTTGTTCTCCCTTATTTTCCACATAGTTATTTGATATTTATTTAATCATTTGCTATTTATCATTCTTTTGCCCCCAAGAAACACAACGTGGCCGGAGACTTATTTCAATTTCATCCAAACCTGTCTTTTACAGTCAAAACGTACACTGACGCTACATGGTGCCAACAAAAATCCTCTTTGAAAGCAAAGGGCGTATTGAAAATAAAAACTTCAGCAAAGAGTAAATAAATCTCTATTCACTCTCTTCTTGTTGGATGACTAAATTGGAAGACACACCAAAAAGGCTGTGTACTAACTCTCCATTCAAATCACTAATATGTTTGCCTCTTTCCGGAATTGTGCCATCACCGCATGAAGGGGAACAGCCACCGCATCTCTGCTCCATTTCCATTCGACACATAGTATATCTTCTTCCAGTTTTCCTCGGAGAATGCTTCACGCTGAACTAGTCTTTGCCTGCATCATCGAGTACAGTTCAAAAGCAATCAAATAGTGGCTTTGGATTTTGGATTAAGCTTGAGAATGGTTTAGGTACATACCGAAGGTAGTAATGGCAAATTGCTTCTGCTTCTTCCAAACTGTATCTACGGAGATCTAGACGGGCACCAAGTGGTACATCTGGCAAGTCTTTACGAAGTTTTCCTACTGCCGTTGAATGAGAGAAAGCACCCACCATCATGTCATCATGCATCATACTCCTGAAAGCGTTTACCTGAGAAGAAGGGGTAAAACCCAAATCAGAAAGCCAAGGGGATGATGCCATATGAGCAGGATCAAACGTCTAAAGAGTACTGACCATTGTAAGTTCTCTGGCGTGTATAGGTCGACATGAACGAGGTGTTACAGGCTCCTCGTACTCACTGAATGTGAACCAGTTGTTATACTGAACACAAGAGTGAGAAAATGAGTAGCAGAAGCATTCATGCAACACAAACAACTACTAAGGGAAGGAGCCGAAAGTCAGAATCCTTATATCATGAAGGGTAAGTAGAAGAACTAACTTGATCAATTGCAATCAGCACAGGTACATCTTTAACAAGTGAGAGCTCTTTCCTCAGTCGAACCACCACACCAACAGCTGCGTGATTGCTCTGAACCCCCATTTGCACAAGGTCAAACAGTGTTGACTCTTCGGGAATTAACATAGTGTCTGCTCCTTTCATATATCCAACACCCGAACCCTCTCCAAGGGGAATGGGGTCAAATATTTGGCATGGAAGTTCTCGTAAGCGGGATTCATTGAACTTAATAAAATCCTACAGGAAGCACATCTATTAAAAATGCTCTTAACTAACAATTAGCAATTGTGGATTTAAAGGGGAAAGCAGGAAAACCTTGCCTTGAGAACATTCTCAGCTTGTAAAGGTGTATCCCAAAGACCCGTTTGTGGATTCTTATAGAAGTAACCACCATGAGTCCAATCACGGCCTTTTGGTGCATACAAAACTAGCCAGCCCTCATCACGTGCCCAATGAACAAGCATCGCAAGAGCAATACTCTTTCCACACTTAACGGGGCCATCCAAGACAATTTGTTTCCTGACGTTTGAACCTTGGGAGAAAAAAATAAAGTTGATTCATAAAACTACTTGCATTACAATCCCTCGGAAAAGAGGGAAATAACGCGACTGAGTTTCAGAATAAGGAGGAAAACAGGTAGGATAAAACCAATAAATTATCCTACTAAAAAATTCAAAATGCAGCCACAGCTAAACATTGCACTATCCAAATTCTGCACGAAAAATCGAATCATATGCACATCAAGGAAAATACAAACACCTTTGATCAAAGTGTTTCCATCTTTATTCTTCAAAATCGTTCACAAAGCAACAAAGAACCTAACTTGAGCCAGAAATGAAACAGAGTATCAACAAAGAACACACCTTTACTGTCACTTGGCCACATGGGAGGATCTACAATGCGTCTGAAATTGTCTCGCAGAGCCAAGAAACCTTTTCTCACAAGCAATGCAGGCCTCATTGACTCCTTGAACTCCTCTTCCATTCCTGAAGGCAATCCCTCCGGCAAAACTCCTCTCAGCGCCGCCTCACTATCATCCCCACGTGTCAAAATATATCAGTACCACAATAACATAACCACAACGGACACAATCACGCACACACGCAATCGATCCAGCCAAAGTTAAGTAAAACAGAGTGAGATACTTGAATTTGAAGTAGGAGCAGGCATCTTTCTGCGAGAGCTGCGAAAGGGTAGCTGTCGATGTGAAGAGAGGCCGTCCATTGGGACCCACGTCGAGAGACGGATTCTTCTCGTCCTCGGCCAGTCTCCGCGCGCGAGCAGCCTCGAATTCGTCGGCTCCGGCGGCGATCCAGCCAAAGTTAAGTAAAACAGAGTGAGATACTTGAATTTGAAGTAGGAGCAGGCATCTTTCTGCGAGAGCTGCGAAAGGGTAGCTGTCGATGTGAAGAGAGGCCGTCCATTGGGACCCACGTCGAGAGACGGATTCTTCTCGTCCTCGGCCAGTCTCCGCGCGCGAGCAGCCTCGAATTCGTCGGCTCCGGCGGACCCGACCTCGCCTACGTCGGCTCCGGCGGAACCGGGATTGCCACCTTTGGATTTGGATTTCTTGCCATCAGCCTTCTTCGCCTTGCTAACGTTCGCTTTGGTCGACTTCGACGAGGAAAAGCATCGGTGAATATGGTCCAAGGTCGGGACTAGAGCTCGTCCGACGGATACTGAGGACTCAGCCGGGAAATGACCGGAGATATCGATTCCGAACCATGAACGCCGGTGAGATCTGAAGCTCCCGACGGCGACTCTGACGGCGAACCTCCACATCTCTTCGGTCGCTCTCTATCTCTCTGCGTCGAGGTTTTAGGGAGGGATTTGGGGTGCGAATCTGGTGCTTCGCCGAAGAGCTGACGCAGAGAGGGAGGGGCAGGATAGTAATTACCCGTCTGAGGTAAGGGTCTTTACGGAATTCAAGATAATATCATGGGCTTGAATGTAGGCCCAATACTCACATCATATTGGGCCGTGATTTCCAGTTTGGAGAGAGGTGGGGAGATCATGCCGAGTGATGGGAACATGATTTGTGATTTGTAATCCTGAACACGTGTCAGTTACCCAACTCTTTGGAGAAACTCGAATCGAACAATTCAGATCTTAAGATTCCAGAACCGATGGGGCAAGGCAGGGTGTAAAACGGATCCGGCCCGGTCCGGTCCGGCCCGTGAATCCCTTCACATTTTCTCAAACTTCAACTCGGTACGCACTCATAGACAGCAAGTTTTGGAAAGGCCGCCTTCTCTTGTGAAGCGAGTATCCACAGTGATTTTTGACCCAAAAAAAAAGAAAGGGCCTCCCCTTCGAATCAAGCACCTCAAGAGAGAGTGATTGCAAAATAACAAACACTGATAAAAAGACGAGTCTTCAGCCTCAACCCCCTTAGTAGCAACGCACACTCAGTGTCAGTGATACTACTACTGTCTGAAAGGGAAGAGGAGAGAGCCCGGAAATTAGATTCCTTTATGAATCGGATTCACTTGTTGGTGTGATTTATTTTTTAGGGTTTCTCTTTCACCCGGTCACGCTGCGCTTGCGTATAGGCGGGTCCATTTCTTCGCTGTTTCCACGGCTTCCGCCTCGTCCGTCTTCCAATGCTTAGCGATGTTTTCAGACAGCGGATCGTCCGGGTTTGGCGCACTTAGAAGAGCTTGAATGCTTCATGACACACACACACACACAGAAGAAAAAAAACTACAGCATCAGCCATGATCATAACGTTCATACTCAAATCACCCTAGTAGGGAAGATATTTTCAACAACAACAACAACAGCAACAACAAAAATTGAAACTTGATATAGCTGGTGAGAATCAGTGGAATTATACCTTAGCAGCACTGTTCTTATTTGCAGTGCAGGACTCCACTTATCTTTCAGAATATCAAGGCAAATCCTTCCAAGCTGTGCAAAATAAACAGAGTTCGTAAAGACAGGCAGATTTGTTTGCTGTTTGTTTGCAAGGTAAATTTCATAAGAAGAACTCGAAAACATACCTTGTCAATGTTAGGATGGTATATCTTGGTGAGAAACCGAACCTGAAACAGAGCAAGTCGTAAGTAAACCACCTATATCATATCGGATACTAGAACTCGTGAGATGAGAAAGAATACTGGAGACAATTACATGTCAAGGAACAGACAAACATAAACATTGGCCGCTATAACAAAAAAAAGAGGGTAATTTCAACAATATTACATAAACTAGTACTCTCAGCAATCATTTGACACTATCACATTAAAAGCTTTCAACAACATTCTAGCATATTCCTTCACTTCCGGTTGGATGACATATCAATTACATTGACCAAGTTCAAGTTACCATGTATATATATGTGTGTGTGTGCGTCGAAGAACACGGTTAAAACTTCAGAAATGTGGAAGAATAAAAAGGGCAAGGAAAACTCACAAACAAGTAAATGACTTACCTTGGGAGCTGCCATAGGATATTCTTCAGGCAAAAAAAGCTCCAACTTGAAAACTCCTCCTAGAGAGCATACACCACACAACGGAAATTTCTTACACAGCAAATTTTTGAAAGACAGAACCAAAAATATCAAAAAACTTGAGATTTCATTTAGTTGCATAAGCTGACATTTATCACTTTCTTTCATCATCATATATCAATATATCCACCAACCTTTTGTCTTTGAAATTGAATAGCTAACAATGATCAACCCAGTTCATTGGCAATCAAAAAGCTTGGCAATACTCCCCAGGAATTTCAACAGAGGAAATAAGCAAATCGACAACGAGCATTCTCAAAGATAAATAATTACCTTCATAAGGAGATTGTGAAGGGCCGAGAATCATGACATTGAAGTACCGCATATTGTCCTCAGATGGAGAAGCGCTGATCCCAGGAGCTGAAAGGATCCATTACAAGAACCTCCATCAAAATCGCCTTTTATCTAAATCATTACTAACAACGAATTTCGGACATAAACCCGAAATCCATCAATCAAATTCCCATTTCCGGCCAGAATAATCAATGATAGAACTCAAAGAGCTAGAGCGAATCGAAGAATTTACCCGGTTCACTTAGCAGACGCTGAGTTTCCTACCAGATCGCCAAGACAACAAAAAGGTCAGACCACAAGTACAAAATTCGAAGATGAAGATCAAACAAAAACATCAGGATAGATTGGCGAAGAAATGGAGAGAAGAAGATGAGAAAAGGGGACCTTAATGATTCTTCTGGGCAGATTACTGTTCGCCATTGTCGCGCACTATGTGCCAAACGATCTCACAGAGTTTAGGGTTTTTGAGAGAGAGGTTATACGAAAGACGAAGGCCGATGAAGGAGGACACTTGGTCAAGAGGTCTGACGTGCTCCTCGATGCTTTTATTTTCTGAAAAATCAAAATTATATTCCTTCCTCGGCTTTTAATTATTGATAATAAAACGTCGCCCCTTAATCCTTTCTACTGTATTCCATTAACATTTTTTAATTTAAAAAGTCTTTATTTTTAAGAATAAATTTTCCATTTTTCCAACTTTTAATTCAAAAAAAATATATCTAATTAATTTACCATCATGATCCTATTTTTTGGTCGATAAACGATCAAACATTCAAACACGATGGCAAAAGAGGAAATGGTCAAACTGTGATTAGTTAGACAGCTTGGTTTCACAAAGGAAGGAGCAAAAGAAGAAGGCTTGCGACTAAAGAAATTTGTTTTTCTTGTTGGGTTTAGGAAACTATTTGGGAACTCTCCTAAGCAAAGAGTACTTGCCGAATACATTTTTCTCCTGCCACTTGTACGGTATGAAAAACGACCTGTACGTCGCCGGCGACAGCTCCCTGTCCAGATACGGCAACACCGCTATCGGCTGAAACGGCCAAACCCCGAGATGAATGTTATTAACAATACTCTGTGACTCGGAAACGTATGAAAAGGTTCGATCTTTCTCACCTCCCATGTCGATAAGTCGCTTCCACGGTACGGGTAAGGCCTGCTAAGCTGCAACTCGACGAGGAATGTACACGCTTCGATGTTCCTTAACTGAAAACGAGGCGGAGAAGGGAAGAGATGGGTTAGTCGGAAATGAATCCGAAATTTCAGATTTTGATCAGAATGGTGGTTTCGGAGGAAAAGGGTGAGTGGATTTACGTATTGCTCGTCTGATGCCTGGTTCTTGTTGTTGAAGTATGGAGGTGATGAAGCAGTACCACCAAGTGTGTCGTTAAACGGGAACGGAAGAAGACCCCGGAATCCATCATCGATCCATCTTACTTCACCGATGAAGCTCGGGACAAAAAACGATGACGGGTACCGATGCCATTCACTTCCCACGCACAGAACAGAGCCTGCGGAAAAATCAAAGCCAATGATAATAATCCAATGTTCAGAAACCTTTGATAAAGAAAATTCTTCTCCTCTAGTGTTATTGAGTTGGCTGCCCATACCGAAAACTTCAATGTAGCTTGTTTACCGACTCAGAGGAATTTAACGAGGTAACCGACAAATGACATCGGCGAGATATATTTCGACATGCTTAAATCTTAAGGATCTGATATTCCGGTTGAAAATATATGCACATACATATACCTGGTTCTACATCGTCGTGGTGCTCGAGTAGCTTGTAAATCTCCAATGGAGCGGAGTAGCCATTAATCAGAGAGAAGGTACGAGCATGTGAAACACATAATATAAGGCCCAGAACCACAGGCCGGAGGTATTTAGCTATCTGCATTTTTAACCGAAAATACAAGAAACTTCAATCAACAACTATTCTCGGGAACTACCAAACGCAAAGGGTGTTAACTGAAAAACACACTCACTGTAACAAGGAGACTATCCTGCCGGCTATACTTGTCTCGGAATAGTTCTGGAATGTTCTCGATAACAGCAGAAGCAGAGACACATATAAGAGGGTATACCGGATAAAGGAACCTGAAGCAATATATTCAAAGTTAAAACCATATTACGGAAACTAAAATGCAAGGAATTCGAGTTGTGAGATATTGAAGATTACCTTTCTTCTTTGTGTGGCTGAAGAGACATGAATGCCAGCCAAATATACATAGGTGATATCACGACAAGAAGATCCCAGTTATACTTTCTCCTGATAACGGGATACATACCAACAAACAATATGGCCAGAACAAAGCAAAAATTAAAGTTGTTAAACCCGTTTCTCAGATAAAATGACGGCCCTTCAGTACCATAGAGATGGCTCTCTCCACCTCCCAAGACATTGTATATTAACAGATTCATAACAGAAGATGTCCGTCTTTTGTAATAATAGAAATCCACAAGTACTGAGAGTCCCTGGAAAATGAGTCCAAGTATTAGAAAAGTATCAAAAGTATGCATCCAATTGAAAGTAAACTCAATACAACAATTACCGCAATTTTCACAAACATATGAAACTAAGCTTGATGCTGACTTACGAGGAGAAAAGCAGAGGTGACAGCGCCAGAGATAAATGTTTGCTTGAATCTTTTAACCAAAGCATAAATCGTGATCGGCAAAAAGGCAAGGATGGAAAATGGCCAGCCCAGAATAACCCCAACGGCTGCAACTGCAACAGCCATAGCGTGTTTCTCGAGAAGAAACAATCCCGACGAAAGACTCATGGCATACATAGAAAATGAGCTAGGGAGGAAACCTGGCCAATCCCAAGGCAACATTACTCAGTAAAAAAATGAGAAGAGAATATCACATTTAAGCAGGGAATCACAAAAATGCAAGCAAACGTCAAAGTAATTAATATTTCTAAGATACGAACGAATTGATCAGGAAATCCAATACCAAATGCCCATGAAAATGCATAAGGATCAAACAACAAGACAAATCAGACTTTAGATAGAGCACTTACTGGTGCTAGCAAAGAAGCACCCACTGGTAAGGCAGAGCATTGCAAGTGCATATGTAGCAAGACGTTTCCCATACTTTCTGGAAAGTGCAACTACCAGAACAGTGTCTGAGACAGCAGAAACAAGACCGAGAAAGAGTCTCACAGCATAGAACACTCTAACCTGCGAACATCATACACACAAAACCGATACAGTTAACTCCAATGTATAGACACGATAATTAGAAAATAAATCGGGAAGAGCGAAAACGCTAACCTTCTCGTCACCAAACCACCAAGAAGCAGGTCGACCCACCAGTTCGTGGAAAAGAAGGTATAAATATGATCGGAGTGCAAACTGGGAACTGCACAACACGAAACAATGGATCGATACTCTATTTACATTTCCACGAAATTCACCCAATAACCATCTTTCTGGATATTAACATCTTTATACGTGAGAATGCACCACAGGACAGTCGATTGATAAGCGAGATAAAGCTGTCGTAACATTTCAAGTGAGCTGAAGTAAAGCTATCAAATACAAAATATGTAAGAAGATCGTAAACAAGAACATTCAGATTCGAAGGATATACAGATAAAGAACATTACTTCAGCAGCTACACTCACAAAACAAGCTCGATAAGGACAGGTCACATCCATAAGACAAAAGTTATATATCCACTCAAATCGACACAACTTCACATCTCAACTATATGATTGCAAAACGAAATCAGAGACGTTTCCGTTTTCCACTCTTTTTCCCAAATCTTCACTCAAAAAAGCTACTCCTGGTGGCAACAATCATTGACATCCACATGGACATATAGAACCGCCATTTCCGTTCCTCCAATAGAACCATTACGACGCACATTATACAACATGAATAGACGCCGCACCTGTATTCCCATGTCTGAAACCCCGATTTGTAGAGAAGAAAGTGGAGAGGCTCCCAGTAATTAAACACCTCGTCGCAGTCATGGACGATGTTCGAACTTGCGCTCATGTAACGAAGATACCCAAGAGCCATCAATGGCAAGAACCACCGCAATCCGCGATCGTCCGCCGCCGCATCGCCGCCGTCAGATCGTCCAGGCTTGTCAGTCTTCGTGTACGACCTCGTCGACGGAGACGGAAGATCGGACGGCAGAGCACGCCTCTGACGCGTCGTTAGAGCCATCTAACGCTGGATCTCCCTCTCTCTGTGAGTGAAAATGGTATCGGCGAAGCAAAACCTCCCTTCTCGGCGAAGCAAATGAAGACGACGGTTTATTCAAAAGTATCTGAATGAATCAGAAGGTTCGGTGGGAGAAAGAAACAGCCCGCAAGCCCATAAAAAAACAGGTTTAGTGAATTGGTCCATTATTAATCATAGGCCCGGCCCATTTATCGCAACTCATTTATTATATTTTTCTTAATAAATACATTTTTTTATACAAAATCTCATGATTACCTACCCTTACAAATTGAGACAAACTGGCCACCACCTACACTTAACCGTCTTTCACCGGACCTGGCCACTAGACGTGCCTAACGTTCGGGCCGTAGATACATATAATACTATGACCTAAATTCGGGCCATAGTATTATATGTATATAATACTATTATATTATAGATACATATGTATATACACTTTTCTGTTTTTAAATTAATTGATATGAATATATATCCAACGGGATATCCCCACCGAGCGCGTGCAGTAAATGCAAAACCTAACACGTAAGTCCGTAGTCCGCCTACCATTCGTCCCACCAGACCCACGCCATTCATCTCTCCCTCCTTTCCATTTTCATTTTTTCTAAAAATAAGCCCATGTAGCGTATTCTGATTTTGATTTTTTTTCGTTTACATTATTTTTTATTCAAATTCTAAATTTTATAAAAAAAAATTATATCGATTTGATTTTTATCGAATCAACTTTTGTGTCTAAAAAATCATTTTTATTTTTTTTAAGATACTTTCAATTTGGGTTCAGTTTTACATCACCAAATCAATCAAACTATGCATCCCCTACTTCAATTTAAAAAAAAAAATGTTTAGAATCGAAAGTGTATATAATATACGAATATTCGAAAACCCCGACCAGTCAAATGAAATCTTATCCAACTTTGATCCGCCTGGTTCCCCTCTGGATCCGATCTCATTTATTGAAATCCGCAAGTTGCATTTGACTTTTCAAAACAAGACAGCAGAAGAAATATCACACGTCTATACATCCGAACATATATATACACACACACATATATCATCCTCCTTCAAAAACCATCTTATTACATCATCATCATCAACAATCTAAAAAAAACAGAACAAAGATGTCACCACTTCACATATTCGTAACACTAGCAGCAGTGATCTCCGCTACATTAGCACAAGTTCCTCCCGACAAGACATTCACGTTCGTGAACGAGGGCGAGTTCGGTGAATACATCATCGAGTACGACGCCAGCTACCGTTGGATCGAGACCCCGACCCAAAGCTTCTCTTCTCGACCGTTCCGGTTGTGTTTCTACAACACGACCCCGAGCGCCTACGTGTTCGCCATCCGAGCCGGTCTCCCCAACGACGAGTCGCTCATGCGGTGGGTATGGGACGCCAACCGGAACAGCCCTGTCGGAGACAACTCGACGCTGTCGCTCGGCCGAGACGGGAACCTGGTATTGGCCGAGGCGGACGGTCGGGTCAAGTGGCAGACCAATACGGCCAACAAGGGCGTGACCGGGATGCGAATGTTGCCTACGGGCAACCTCGTACTCCACGACAAGAACGGTAAGTTCGTGTGGCAGAGCTTCGACCACCCCACCGACACTTTGCTCGTTGGTCAGTCTTTGAAGGTTGGCGGCGTCAACAAACTCGTTAGCCGTAAGTCCGATCTGGATGGCTCGGACGGTCCGTACAGCATGGTCCTTGACAGTACAGGTAACAAACAAATGTATTATAACTAATAAATACTAATTAATTAATCTCTTTGTTTTTTTGGTTAATAATATCGTATATTTAGAGTTTTATATGTTACTCTGTTTTCTATTTGATTTAAATTTATATTGTATTACAGATATTTTTAAAAGAAAAACACCTTATCTATTTAAAAAGTTTACTGAAAAATAATAATAACAAAAATTGTCACGATTTAAATTCAAAATATATATTAAAACCCGATCCGAAAAATTATTTTTAAATACAGGTTTAACAATGTACATCAACAAGACCGGAACACCTCTCGTATACGGTGGATGGACGAACAGAGACTGGCGCGGGTCCGCGACCTTCGAGGTCCAGCCCGAAAACGACAACTCAACCCTCCCGGTCGCGTACGAGCTCATCCTGACGCCCGGCCCGCACCCTCCGACACCTTCCCCGACCAACGAGCACGGCCGTAGGTTACTCCAAGTCCGACCAATCGGCAACGGCTTCGGCACCGTCAACCTCAACAAAGTCAACTACAACGCCACGACGTCGTTCCTGCGTCTCGGCTCGGACGGAACCCTAAAGGCCTACACTTACTTCGACAACGTCCGGTACCTTAAATGGGAAGAAACCTTCTCGTTCTTCTCGACGTACTTCGTCAGACGATGCGGCCTCCCTTCTCTGTGCGGCGACTACGGATACTGCGACAACGGCATGTGCGTCGCTTGCCCGACAAGCAGGGGCCTGCTCGGGTGGAGCGAGGACTGCAAGGCCCCGAAAGCCACGCAGTTCTGCGGGAGCAAGGGCAGAAAGGTAAATTACTATAAGATCGTGGGGGTGGAGCATTTTCTCGGGCCGTACGTGGACGAGGGAGAAGGGCCGATGGCTGTCGGGAAATGCAAGGAGAGATGCGACAGGGACTGCAAGTGTCTGGGTTACTTCTACAAGGAGAAGACCAGAAAGTGTCTGCTCGCCCCTCTTCTCGCCACCCTCATCAAAGATGTCAACACTTCTGTTGGTTACATCAAATACTGAAGCAGGCGTTTATATCAATTATTGAGAATAAAATCCTATATATATTTGTATTGGTGAGTATGTAGTACGAGAAATAATAATAATAATATTCTTATGCTAAGCTAAGCTCGATATATATATATCCATTAAATAGCCTTTGATTTGCTGTGGCTTGGATACACACACACGCACCACAAATTACCCATCAATTTATTGCACAACTTTTTCTGAATTTGTGGCATGTAATGATTTTGTCTTTTTCATTTTCTCACCCGGGTTGTCCCTTTCTCTTTTATCTTTTATATTCTATAATTATATATGTTAAGAGGGCCAGATCTAGATCAAAGTTGGACGGATCCCAATCTATATACAGTAAACTACAGGTCTTGTGGAATGCCCAACATGGTATGCGCAAAGAGTGCTCTAACCGGGTTCGAATCTCCACACAAATCACATAATATAAAAAAAAAGTTATCGTCAAATCATACGTGATTTCAACAGATCTTCCATCAACTCTGTCAAATCCAATTCCATCTAATTCTAAACGGATTATATCTAAATATGACAAATGTTTAACATGAGATTAAGATCTCATCAATCTTTTCAGGTGACAGGGACAGTTTGGAAAGTTACCCCTTTGGTTCTGTCTAAATATGATCAAAGATTCTTCTCTTTGGTCAGCCACAAGACATCTTTCGTTCCATTATCTCCTCTGTTCATCATCTGTGGTTCAAATCCATGGCCAAGAACTTGGAAAGATCCACTAACAAGACCGTGCAGATCTTCACGTGATCAAACAAGCCAGTTTCTGGTGGAGTAATTGATCAGTAGTGTTTCCAATGGAAAGTTCAACCCTTTTCGTACATTCTCAGAGCTCGAGCCGAAAATGGGCTACGATCAAGGATCTTATCTTGTTAATGGATACCAAGAAAAATGCTAGACGGAGATGAACGGTGGGATATTTTGTTGATGATTTGTGTTAAAGAAATCATGATTTGGATTTCTTTCCTTTTCATTATAGAAAACAAAATATATCCAATTTCTCGGTCCGTTCAATGGTCTTAAATATATATAATCTTGTGAGCTGTAACCGGAGATAAACCCAGTTCTCAGCAGCTTGCTTTCTGAAACTTCAATGGACCAAATTGATCCGGAACAGAGAATGGGGCGAAACTCCAAATGTAAGAAAGTATCGAGGGGGTAAGTTGCAATAAGTGGTAAAATTGTAAATTTCTTAGGAAGCAAGGGTTAGAAGTTAAGAAAAGAATCTAACAACTGAAAACAAGGAGCCGGAAAAATCCTCTCTCTCCGTGTAGGGGAAAAAAGAATGAGTCTTTACGACGACGAAGCTCTGAAGCAGGAGGTGATCTACCTCCACTCTCTCTGGTACAAGGGTCCTCCGACCCGAAACCCGAATCCGACCTGGCACCCGGCACTGAATCGGAACCCGGGTTTTGACCCGATTCAGAGACCCAGAACGAACTATATTCCTCCGGCGGATCTGAATCTTCCCTCTCGCTACGTACCCGTGGCCGCCAGGTCCCATCTCGTACCCAGAAAACCTAATCACCCAATTCATCTCTACAAACGCCCGGGACCCGATCCGGGTCCGGAATGGCCGGCGAGGGAGGCGCTGCCGTCTCCTCCGATGAAATCTGGGTGGCGCGAATTCAGGCCCAATCCGTCTAAGAAGCCCCGGAAGTTTCCGCCGGAGGAGCTAGCAAAATTGATGAATAATAAGCTCCAGAATGGCATTCTGCAGGCCTGCCGTGAGTTCTTCGCAGGGAAATCGAACGAATATGGCGGGTATGGGTCGGAGGACGGTGAAGGGGACGATGATCAGTCGCCTGAGAACGTATCCTCGGCTGAGTTCGAGTTCTTTTCGAGGACGTTCGACCAGAACGGCGAGCTGAAGCAGTACTACGAGAAGAACGCCCGCAATGGCGAATTCTGGTGTCTGGCTTGCGGTGGCGGCGGCGGCGAGAAAAGTTTACGGAAGTTCAAGAGCTGTTTGGCGCTTGTTCAGCATTCCTTGACGATTCACAAGACGGGCATGAGAACTGCACACAGAGCTTACGCGCAGGTTATCTGCAATGTTCTTGGATGGGACGTTAACAATCCCGTTGCTTCAAGTCAAAAGGATTCTCAGGTTAGAAATTTCTTCCCTATTCTTTGCGAGTCAAAACTAACAACAGAAGCTGTTCTGCTTCGGCTGTTTCATGGAGCAGAATAGACGAGTTGGTTCTTAGGAATCCAAGGTCAGAGTTTTAGGGTCAGATCGTAGGCAGATGGTATTATCATGACTGAAAGGTTTTATCGGGTCACTGTGAGAGATGATAGGTTTTATATGGTCATTATGATCGTGGATAGGTTCTGTAAAATGTTTAGACTTTCAGAAACACTAACAATGTTTCTGGTCTGATGGCTTTCTACAGGTAACTGATGAAGGGACCAATGTTGAATGCCGACCCGAGTGTTCTTCAGACCCAAATAAACCTCCGGAGAAACAGTTAATGTCAGCTGAAGAACAAGCAAATACTGTGAGTTTACATTTGCAGAAGAAAGTATCAGCAGTTTCAATGCTCTTTTTGTGATTTGTGGTGGATTATTTCAGGAAGGCAAATCCACAGAACAACAATGAGGCAGGATCAGGATCTGGTGTATAACGGTTGCCGGCAGTATTTTTCCAGGTTGCTAGGTATATAATATACGCCACTCCTGTTGATATTCATCTGGATCACAGTTATGAATGTCCCCATATTATCCCTCCTTTTTACCGGCAAGATATGAACAAGCTTGAATTTGTTTAACAAGTCTCGATGAACCGATGAGGAAGAAAACAGTCCAAGAGTTATGCCAAGTCAGAGTTTTGCTTACAATATTTATGAAACAAATCAATAACATATGTTGTCTTGTTTGTGAACAGGAACATATGTTTTCATCAGGAGTCCTATCTTCAAGAATGTTAGGTTCAATAGACGTGGATGGTACAGTCGAGATAATGACCTTGCTGAGGATGCAAATCCAGGTTTGATTTGTTCCGTGTTAGAGAAACACATTCTCGCCATGTTAAGTCTGTGTTAAGTTCACCTTGACTCTAGTTTTTGCTGAGAACAAGAAAGCTTTGTCCCGAAATAAACGTTTTTTATTATTGCTATTACCAAAGATTGTGTTCTGAAACTGAATTTAGACAAAGAGCATCTGCAACTGAAGTGGGTATTACATTGAACATATGTACCATGTTCATGTGGTGAACATCCACAAATGCATACCAATATCTGATGAAGAACAATGGATTATGGCAAATGGCAATCAACCGAACATGTATATATGTATAGATGTCATCATAAGGCATGCAGGAAATAAGAGCAGAAACATATTACTCGCAGGCCAACTTAGTGCCGAAGCTAGTGAGACAGATGGCGAAGGCCTGAAAAGCCGACAATGGCTGCATATAGTCCATGGTGAAGATTTCATCTCCGACCTTCCCAAATTGCAACACAACATTGTTCCCACTGGACTTGGAGCCTGCTTGCTGTGATGCCACCAACTGGAAATTCTTCACTGAGGCAACTGTGACACGGCCATGAAAGTTCAAGCACCAGCATTGCAGGTGGTCATGCCACCTCGGGGATTTGTTCTTCAGAACTGCACACCGGGGATTCTTCGTCTTGGAAGCTTCTTCTTCCGGGTGCTTGGCCTTTTGAGAAGACGGGCATTTCATCGGGCAGACCATTCTTCGCGGACTTCTTGACTTGAAGAGGTTGAACTTGTAAGAAACTTTCCCCACCTCGAAATTGGCTGCTGCTGCTGCTGCTGAAACTTGAGGGTTTACTTGTCTACTTGTGCATCTTCGGCTAGCTCTGCAGCTGGAAGGCTTTGCATCTTCGTGGGGAGATTGGCTGTCATAGATCTTGAAGTCGGTTCCAAACAAATCCGATCTAGACAAGGAGGGCGGGACATCGGAAAAGACGTTTCAGAGATCCAGACAGGTTGATGCTTTTGATCAAAATATCATAACGATACCAGAAGAATATAAGGAATCTGGGGAAGAAGAGAATCTACCTGATTTTTCCAACATATGCACTGCTTCCTTGAGATAAATCTTCAGCATCACTTGAGATTATATACTCTATGTATAGACCACGTCTATGTCTACGCGCTGCAAGAAGAAACTTCCCCCTGTCTGTGAATGCTGACACCACACAGGACACGAGGAAAGTCAACATTAACAAGAATGGCATAAGACACAGTTTAAGGCAAGACATAATCCATTGTGAATCAAATGAAACTCTAAATGCTACCCTCTTATTTCACTATCTGTATACTGTCCTCATATTTCAACTGGGCTAACTCTGCAGCTGGAAGGTCTTGCACCGTCATGTGGCGGTTGGCTGTCATAGATCTTGAACTCGGTTCCAAACAAATCCGATCTAGACAAGGAGGGCGGGACATCGGAAAAGACGTTTCAGAGATCCAGACAGGTTGATGCTTTTGATCAAAATATCATAACGATACCAGAAGAATATAAGGAATCTGGGGAAGAAGAGAATCTACCTGATTTTTCCAACATATGCACTGCTTCCTTGAGATAAATCTTCAGCATCACTTGAGATTATATACTCTATGTATAGACCACGTCTATGTCTACGCGCTGCAAGAAGAAACTTCCCCCTGTCTGTGAATGCTGACACCACACAGGACACGAGGAAAGTCAACATTAACAAGAATGGCATAAGACACAGTTTAAGGCAAGACATAATCCATTGTGAATCAAATGAAACTCTAAATGCTACCCTCTTATTTCACTATCTGTATACTGTCCTCATATTTCAACTGTCAAGAGTTTTGACAGAGCCACCAACCAAACCACATTTAACATTGACAAAGTCAAATGTAGAATACAAAAAAAGACTGCAACTTTGACCACTCACATGGCGTCAGAGCAAGATACAAGTAAAAAGTCGACGTCTTCCTATCCCTTTGTATGAGACATTGGTTGGGGAAATCGCGTGGACCCGCCTGTGTTCGGACACATCACAGGAAGCTCATTAAGCCAGAAATGTATTTATACCAACCAAAGCTTAAAGAAAGATTCAAGATTTCAGGGAATGGTATTAAAAAGCATAGCTTCCTGTAACCACCACCCACCACCAATGGCAATCCCTTCTACGCATAAAATAATCACATGGATCATGTCTATCTTGGATACTCTTATGACAGTAATGGTAACATGTCTGCACGTATATCTTTTCCATTTCTAGAATGAACAAAACAAACAAGCAATCCGCTTAAACAGTAATCAAAGAGGACACCTCAACACAGCCAGCTGAAGCCAGAGTTTTCTTACAGCTCTGCTTGGTCTTTGATTGGAAGTGAACTTTCTGTAAAATGTTTGTTGATTTTGAAGCAAGGACAACACTTCGATCCCTTTAGAACTCTCTCATGCAATAACTTCTGATTGGGCAATTTACCTTCGAGAGAAGAACCCTATCCCTAAGATTACACGTTTTACAACTATAATTCAATACAAGGAAGAGGAGGGTTTATCAAGAATCCTAAGACATTTGAAACATTCATCAACCAGTTATTGCATTGGCAATGCAAAAGTCGAACCTGTACCTGTAGCAGAACATGTGGAACTTAAACTCTCTGGTCGAAATTTAGTTAGATAACATACTAGAAGAGCCAGAAACTAGAATTTGAATGTCTTGCTAACAAGTTTAAGCCTTTGAGATGCCAAACACAAACATTAGACGATTTCGATGCCATTGCGACAATGGTTTCCCGTAATAAACGGGAAAAATCAATCACAAATCCATAGTTTCCTGATGAAATAGTTCGAACCCATTTTTCCAAACGATCGGGAAAAAAAAAGGAAAAACAAAGTTTTTTTTTTCTGAAGAAGAAGCGGAAAACGAGGAGCTTACCAGTTTGAGGCAAGAGGGAAAGGAGATTTTCCCGCCATTATCATCATCGTCGTCGTCACCAACCGTTGAAGACTCGACGATATCTCTCGTCTTCTCCCGCCACTTTTTACAGACGCCGGCACAAGCGACGACGCTGCGTCGCTGTGGCCACCGGTCCTCGCTCTCGTCAACGCGGCGCACGATCTCGCCGAGGAGCTCCGGGAGAAGGGAAGACCACGACGGCGACGCGGCGAGATTACCGGTCTCGATTGGGTAGTCAGTTCCGGGTCGGGTTTGATCATACGGGTCATCCGAGTCCACCGGCGACGATATCCGGCTTCTCCTGGAGAGAGAGAGAGAGTGCCATGGCGTCATATTTGCTGCTGGGTTATGGGGTTTGCTCCCCTAGTGGAAGAGCACAACTGGTTTGGCCGAGAGGAATGCATAAAAGAGTTGAACTTTCAGACCCAAAAAAAGAGGGGAAATGGCGGAGAAAAAAAATGAGAACGTTGGCGTTGATAGAGTGACGGGCCTGTGGCGGCACAGACGAATGAGATTGGTTCTCTTTGACAGTTTCCGAATGATATTACATATTATGTAAGTATGTAGGTGTCGGGTTCGAGTTCATGGCACATTCGCAGCATGGCTTGCACGTTGTCGATTCTACGTACTGCAACTTACTTCATAATCCAATTCAAGAACGAGTGTTACATGGTTTTGTATTATAGAAATGGATCCCAAATGCCTAAAGATTCAAACTTTATGGAATGCAAAGCGAACCAAAGTGATATTTTCTCGATCCTGAATCTGTGTGCAAGCATCACATTGTCCGAACCAAGTTGATGCTTTAAGCCACCAACCAATCCCAACCCTTTAAGTCTATCACTAGAGACTGAAGATGTGCTCTTCTTCTGTAACTATGTTTTATGAACCCAATCCTGAATATGAACCATAAAAGAAAATACCGATTAAACCGATCACAGGAATACCAGTTATGGTACCTATTATCCAAAGAAGAATCCTTCCAGTAGTATCAGCCATTTATCCCTGACTTTGGTTTCAGCCACGTGTACTATGAACAACTAAATCGGCCATTGCACCAGAACGAACGAGGTAGGGGCAGTAGGGGCCTTGCCGATAAAAAAACACTTTCTTGTTTTGGTCTCTTCCTTTGTGGAGTCTAGTGTACATGTAAAGATCAAGCCATCTACTCAAAAGAACAGTTCTTTTCTTATCCATCCTACTCAAAAGCAGTCCTTTTTCCTATAATCCCAAGACCTAGAACCAACTATTCGATGGTCAGAACGTGTAATCTTCCAAGAATATGTGATAGACAACAAACCACGAGACCTAAATCGATCCGTATCCCGACACTGTGTCCAGGCTTATGTACGAGGAGGCTCGATTTTGTCATCTAATCATTACAAGCAACCAACTCTGTCTACTTCAGCATTAGATCAATGGCTTCACAATCTCGACAAAATAACAGCTCTATTGCCATTCTTGTCATGCGGTTTCGTGGTCATATGCTTACGGAGATGCTATGATTTTCAATTTTCTTATTCTGCACTACACAATGTATTTAGCAGTATGCTTCTATCTAGGAGATATCTTCCTTCATGCTTCCATCACATTCATAAAGGCCGCAGCTTCTAAATGTTTTCCATTAGAGAACTGAAATCCCTTCCAAGAAATGAAGCACTAATCTTAAGCATAAACAAAGCTCAAATGCTAAACCCAGATAACAAGCATTGATCAATGAATCTCTGTGAATGCAAGAACTCGAAGAGAATCTCTAAAGCACCAATCTTTATGATGAGTATCATCATCAGATTCCAGAGTTGCATTCAGAAAATCAAGGAGCTTTCCGAATACAAAAGAAAAAGGGGGAAATTTTCCAAAGTTTGGATCAAAGCCACAGAAAATTCACGAACTTCTGGATCTAGGTCAAATTTTAAACCAGATAAACATCAAAAGCCCCTCAAAAAAAGGCATCAGAGAGATCATTTCATCGCTTTTTGTACCGAATCTGTCGGTGTTTGCGGCAATAAACCTCGATCCCCTAGCTGATTCATCTGTTGCTTTTTCAGAATCGAATTTCTTTCGAACTCTCTCCACTTGTTGATGGCGAAAGTACAGAGAACTGCGATTACCAACGAAATTGTCGGATTAACAAAAAACATAGCCAAGCAACATCCGTAAGATGAACAGATCCACATATGTATGTACACACACATATACAATGGTATATATACAAAACTTACATCCGGCGCCTACAAAGTACAGTAAACGGGTGACCTTCGGACCCGGTGGACCTGCTTCCTCCATTGTTTTGGTCTCCGTCTGCAAAGAGTTAGCTCTCCGTCTGCAAAAAGAGTTAGCTCTAAACGTCGTCGTATCACGTGAACAATGATACAAAACCCGACCGACCCGACCCGACATAAACGGAAACTGACCCGAACCGACCCGGGTTTTTTTTCCTCTCTTTTTCTCCCTGGGTTTTGGTTTGAAGATCCGAAACTGAGAAACGTCGTGGCATTTTAGGGAGCGAGATCAAAATGGAGAGGAGACGAAGTTCAAAGATGAACATTGCCATAATACATCCTGATCTTGGAATAGGTGCAATACTGAGTTTTCGATTTCTTCTCCTCTTAATTTTATTGGGATTGCGTTTGCTATCTGGGCTCTGTCTTGATCGAATAACGTAATTGAATGATTCTGAATGAATTTAACAGGCTCAGTAGACATTTTCCTGATTCTATCTCTTAGATTCTCTCTGTTTCGTGTTCTGATGAGATCGGTCAGCTCTCTGACGTGAGGATTTGAATTTGGTGTTTGGCTTATCGAGTTAGATTTCGATACACGAGACTATGGATTGTGATCTTCTCTTTCGGGTGTCCGAAAAGTTTCAAGTTTTTTTATGTGTTGTTTTGTGATACGTAGGTGGAGCTGAAAGACTGATCGTTGATGCCGCGGTCGAGCTTTCGTCACACGGTCATAAAGTTAACGTCTTTACGGCTCACCACGACAAATCTCGATGCTTTGAGGAAACTCTTTCTGGTGAGATACGTTCTGGCTTCAGTTTCGGATACAACGGAAAGAAAACCCTTTTCAAGTGTTTCATCTGTGTATAGGTTCATACGATTGAATGCACTATCCAACCATGGTTTTACTGGCTTGATTCTGAAATCCCACTTTGTTTGATACCGGTTTGCAAGCATTTCAATCTTGAGGCTTTGTTCTGACTAAGATTTCTGCTTCCAATCTTGTCATTATGGCCATTCAGGCATCTTTCAAGTCACGGAGTATGGTTCTTTCCTGCCACGGCATATTTTCTACCGTCTACATGCTGTGTGTGCATATATCCGATGCCTGTTTGTTGCTCTCTGCGTTCTCTTGGGCTGGCCTTCGTTTGACGTTATACTAGTAGACCAGGTTTCCGTTGTCATCCCATTGCTGAAACTCAGAAGGTCAACAAAGGTATTTGCAGTTATTTTGTCCATAATATAGCGATACTGATGAGTGTATACATATGAAGTATTTGGGATTTGGATGTAGGTTGTTTTCTATTGTCATTTCCCGGATCTCTTACTGGCTGAGCATACTACAGCACTCAGGCGGATGTATCGGAAACCTATTGACATAATCGAAGAACGAACCACAGGTTTCATTTTTGGCTATCTGTACTTCTGTTCATTTTCCTTTTTTACTTCAATCATGGAATCACTGTTCTTATTTTCTTTTGTGGGCTTGCAGGAATGGCGGATATGATCCTTGTTAACAGCAACTTCACAGCATCTACCTTTGCTAATACATTCAAGCATCTTCATGCACGAGGAATTCGCCCGGCTGTTCTTTTCCCGGCAGTCAATGTTGACCAGTTCAAAAAGCCCCATGCTTGCAAGTGTTGTATATCATTAAACTTCAAGTTCCCAGCAATTTTTTTTATCCTCCATTACAAACTATTTGTTGGCTGGTTTATTTAGTTCTGCTTGTTTCCTTTCTGTGGAACAGATCAAATTTCCTCTCCATAAACCGCTTTGAGAGGAAGAAGAACATCGATCTAGCTATTTCAGCTTTTGCTTTGCTGCTCAAACATAACGAAAAACTGGGTGATGTTACCCTCACAGTTGCAGGTAAGCTAGCATATTGTTCCTTTTTCTCGGATGAAAATTTCACCGTAGCATGCTAAGCAAGATCTATTTTTTCATATCAGGGGGATATGATGAACGATTAAGGGAGAATGTTATGTACTTGGAAGAGCTCAGAAGCTTAGCCGAGAAAGAGGGAGTGTCTAATCGGGTAAACTTTGTCACATCTTGCTCAACAGCTGAACGCAACGAACTTCTCTCAAACTGCTTGTGCGTTCTCTATACACCAACGGTAAAGTCACTACAATTCCTCTGCCCAAATCTCTGTTCGCAATTTTTACAGCCAATGAGATTCCGGGTCTTGTTCAAACGATCCCAATATCTCTCGCAGGTTGAACATTTCGGCATTGTTCCATTAGAGGCCATGGCAGCATACAAACCCGTGATAGCATGCAATAGTGGAGGTCCCGTGGAGACAGTAAAGACTGGAGTAACTGGGTACCTATGTAACCCGACCCCAGAAGATTTCAGCTCGGCAATGGCCAGATTCATCGAGAATCCAGACCTGACAAAGACGATGGGAACCGAAGCCAGGAAACATGTCGTGGGGTTCTTCTCTACCAAAGCGTTTGGACAGCGGTTGAATCAGTTTCTCATCGATGTCTCGGCTCAGAAAGAAGATTGAGATTGAGATTCCCCTGAGCTCATCAATCATGAATGTTCTTATCACAGACTTCAGGCTCAGTGACTGATATTAGTTAGAAACAACACGAGCTTTGATGATGGTGGTGGGATAACTTTAAGTTCGTTACCAAACACGTAGACTCTGAAGTTAAATGTTGCATCTATTACAGTTGCTGAGATCTTCTTCTTTCACTGTTAAGTTTCTGTATTTATTGTAATAGGCGGTGTGCCTAGATATGCCCACAACATCTACAGAAGTACGACGTTTTAATATTTTTGTTTTTAAATTTTGAATTGGACTGACTATCATCAAACATCTAAATTGATTATCAGAAATTTTAATATATTTTTTGTACTAAGGCTATGTGAAACGATCGTTTGTGTAAATGTAATTTGCGATATAAACTTTAATATCTGAAAATGAGACAGCGCAGATCTTGCAATAAAAGGACAAACTCAGTTGAGATTACGCGGTAATGAGTTCAGTAATTATACGAATATTTATTAGCTAAGTCATATTTAGAAAAGAAAAAAAAACACCCAATGAACAGATATTGCCAAGGTGGTGCAATCTCGAGGGAATAAATATCCTTTACCTTTACCATTAAGGAAATGAAACCTTTTGTAGACGTAACTTCTCTTTTTGTCTGAAAAATGGATAATCACTAACGCACATTATTAGCATAAGCATATATGTGTGTGTGTGTATATATGTATATTCTCATATGATCCATTAGTGGAACTCTTTGTAAGAATGGCTGAAAACAAACAGGAGAAAATATCATCGGAATCCATGGAGGGAGGAAACTCGACGACGAGAGTGACGGCTGCGGCGGATAAGTACCGTTCCATATTGAACGGAGAAGAAGCTGCCACGACGCAGTGGAGGCACGGCGGTCCACCGAAATTCGACGCCGTTAACAAGCTCTTCGAACAAGGACGAACCCATGTAACCCATTTCACGCCCACTTCTTCTGTATACATACATTATATATATACACACACGTATACAAGCTTTTCCATGTGTCATTTTGACCCATAAAGCTAATGGGAACAGTGAAATGAATAATTGATGATTGATAAGTTGGAGCAAGATTTAGTCCTACTCTTCCACCCAACCTAATCCTGATATGAACTGTGTGTGGAAAATGAAAGCTGCCCACTTACTTTTGGGCAACGATCTAGGTAGACGTCATAGTGATTGGAATTTTCAGCAGTGAATGGTTTGCTTAATAAATGGAACCAAACAAAGAGGAAGGCAAACTCTTTTGAGAGAGAACTAAACTATGGCTAATAGAGAAGACAAGGGACATAGAACCAGTCACAGAGACAAGTATAGGCATGTCTTGAACGACGAAAACGTAGGAGATATGCAATGGAGACATGGTAAACCTCCGAGCTATGACAGCGTGAACCGGCTTTTTGAACAAGGCCGGACCAAGGTCCCGTTAGAAAGAGTTTAGTTTTTAAGTGTTCATAACGATGATGATGGCTACTAGTGACCCCCTTATGTACCTTTTATGCAGGTGTGGCCTGAAGGGTCATTGGAGGAGACAGTGCAGAACGCAATCAAGTCATGGGAGATGGAGCTTTCCCACAAGATCCACTTGCAGGACTTCAAGACCATCAATCCTGAAAAGTTCAAGCTCTTTGTCAATGGTACCAGACAAAACACACACACAAAGAGGGAAGCTTTAATAATCTAACTGCAGTAAAAACAAAGCAAAGGTCTTTTTTTTTTATGATTTCTGTCTTGTAGGGAGAGAAGGTTTGTCTGCTGAAGAGACACTGGAGCTGGGGAGCTACAATGCTCTGCTGAAGAACTCTCTGCCTAAAGAGTTTCAGTATTACAAAGCAGAGGAAGAGACCTTCGAGTCATCCCATGATGTCTTCAGGTCTGCTTTCCCACGTGGCTTTGCGTGGGAAGTGCTTGCTGTGTATTCAGGGCCACCCACTATAGCCTACAAGTTCAGACACTGGGGTTACTTTGAAGGACCTTACAAAGGCCACGCTCCTACAGGGGAAATGGTTGAATTCGTCGGTCTTGGTGTTCTAAAGGTATATACAGCACATAAATGAAGCTCTTACACTTGTACTGTGTCTCCCTTTCTCAATGAAGAATTTCAAATCTAACGAACCTTTTACAGGTCGATGAATCTCTAAGGGCAGAGGAGGTTGAGATTTACTATGATCCCGGGGAACTGTTCGGAGGACTCCTCAAGGGACCTCCATTACCAGAGACCAAAACAACAGACAGTACAGAGTATTCAGGAAAACAAAGCTGCCCCTTTACCCATTAAGAGAGCTTCAGTTCTGAAGCATGCTCCTTTGTTCATGTATCTCTTTTTTCTATCAGAAAATAAAGAAACCAAAGCCTTTCCGAGGCTTTAAAATAGTATCTGAGCCAGTCAGGTGAAATGAAAAGTAACATACCGACAACTTTATATTTAAAAATCCACAAGGTTTTTGTAAACTTAGATCAATAGAGCGAAATGCCCCTCGATGCATGAAATATGTTCTGTCCAGATAAATTACAACAAGAGTGGATACTATAATTCGGTTGGTTTGACTGACCGGCTTTTAAAGCTCAACATTTGAATCAGTCCCATGTTGGCATTCATCCATGAGAGCCACGCTCAACATTTCAGTACAGAACTGATCATCAGGTTTCAGCCATAGAGCCTGATGGTGGGAAAAAACACACACACACAAAAAAAAAAGGTTTAGCTATTCTACAGAAATGCAAAGAGTATCAGTAGAAAAATTGTCAACTGCATACCTTGTGATAACATGAGATGGCAGCTGAAAAATTGCCCTGGACCAGAAAGAAGACAGAACCAAAAATTACATCTACGAAATTTGCTACTCTTTAATCTTTTTTTTTTTAAATCAGCATGCCATTATCTTCACAACAATGAAACTTTTGCACACTTGATAAGAAAATGGCTCAAGGCTAGAGAATAATTCAGCTACCTGCAAATGGTAAGCATAAGCAAGACCGGCATATGTGCTTAAGCTTTTTGTTGATAATGTAAGTGCTCTTTCATAGTACAAAATAGCTTCACTATACTTCCTGTTAATAAAATTTATGTGAGCCAAGAAGTCAAGACAGAGAGAACATGAAATGGTAAAATAACAGGAGGGACACTGCTAGGTTTAAAAAAGTACCTTAGCTTTCTGTAGGCGTGAGCAAGATTTATCACAGTTGGTTCCCAGGTTTCAGTTAACGCTGATGGAATATGGCTCAACGTCTTCTCAAACCACCGCACAGATTTACCATACCTGAAATTTACAAGTATTGACTCAATTTTACCTACTTTCATTTCATAATGAAGACTTGTCCAATGAAAGTATTTAGAAATTCAGAGGACGGAAGTATTTACTCTTTCATATGATATGCAACAACTCCGAGTTCATTATAAACAAGTGGATCTGAGGGACAAATTGTCTTTGCCTGCATAAAAAACTGGAACAAGAAAAGAACGTATCGTCTGAAAAACTCCTCGAAATACAAATCAATATAAAATGCTGCAAAAGATAATTGAATAAAATGAAGCACATTAACGACTTTCTAGCTTAAAAGCATGAAGGAAAATATAAGCCACATAGCTGTCAGTAGTCAGTTTTCCATGTAATTGCAACATAACCCAATAGTTTATTATGTTTCTGCTCCACCGCACAACCTCTATTCGGTCAAGTTACACCAACTTCAGATGCAACAAGTAACTACATATGTCACACCAGAAATGCCAATTTGCCTAAACTAGAAGATCTACATTACCTGTTCTGCAAGCTTGTAGCTGTGTGTCCGCATGTACTCCATCCCAATGTACAGAGTTGGTAAATGACACCTGGAATAAGATAATATCAAGTTTCAACCTGTAAAAGACAATTTGTACATAATAAGAAGACTTCTGCAATGCTTTACAAAGTGAAAGGAACAGAACAGCAGTCCAAAGCTTTAGCTAACTAAATTTTGGAATCCATCAGAACTCCTCAATTTCACATTTGACAGAACAAATGCCCAAGAGATGCAAGAAGCGAATCAGAAATGGAGGGACTCGAAACAAGACTCTTGAACCATGGCATTTCCACACTGAGAATGTTTATTTCACACCTAAATAAGCTGTACAATCACAGAATCACTAACTTTAGGGAAAAGAAGAAAGATGTAGTTACCCTGGAAATAGCCTTGCAGCAGTCCGATATGCAGACATAGCTTGGTCACCCTCATCTTGGGCAGCAAAAGCATTACCATAGCCTACCAATGCGGGTAAGAACGACCCATCTATACTGGTAGCTTTGCTACATTGAAAATCAAAAGCAATGAACCACCAGATAGAAATAGACCACTTGACCTACAAGGAGCAAATCAAGCTTGCAGAGTGCCACGGCATGATTACCTGAAATACCGCCGAGCTTCGGCATACTTTTTGATACAATAGTAGTAGCAACCGACAGCAAACCATGATAAAGCCCTACAAATCATGAGTTGAGTATTTACTACAAAGAATCAAATAAAGGAATTCTTCTAACAGCGTAACTTGTGAAAATCTAGACAAAACGCCAAATAGAAGACCCAAGTGCCACCTTTCAGCACTGTTGCTCCATAACATCATACTACCCCACATCGACAAAGAAAACTTAATGTAACTGAAAACCCAGAACGAAACATTTGCTCTCGAACTGAAAATATTCATAGCCTAAGAAGCTGGAAAAAAATTCTGAGCTGATCGGTAAGCAATTGTATATCCCAGCTAGATTTATCATAACAGCAATTGCAAATCCAGCTAGATTTATGATGACCAACAGCTAAATTACATCAAAGTTGATATGTCATACACTGGCCCTGTTGTTTGCTGCAAACAGTAACTTTACTCACTTTGAAGGATAGTCCTTCACCAAGTTGCATGCCATCAGGTAGAGCTCATTCGAATTACCAAGCTCCATTGCCGCTGCCAAATGTACCAAAGTACACTTCAGATGGAAAGGATCTTTCTCAAGCAGTCTGTCAAATTAAACAACAGAATAAATGTGACTCAACTATTCAAGTTTCATGTTACTCAATTTTCAAGATCAGCAGCCCTATATGAAACTTACACAGATGTCAGCTCAAAGCATTTTTGATATTCACAGCATTGATGATAGTATTCAGCTTTACAGGCCAACAGATCAGTGTTATTAATCAATGTACTGATTGTCGATGAGTCAGAGCCTCTGCTACAAATTTCCTTCTCAAGTTTCTTGAATTTAACTTCTACTGTACTCTCTTTGTCATACTGGAAAAAAGGAACTGATTAGTAAAACAAATCAGGCGAAGAAGCAGATTTCACAAGTACCACATGGAAATGTTTGAACACTTCAAGTGTAGAAACTTTTACCTTCTTTGTCAAACACGAGTAGAAAGAAGAGAGCCATCCATCTTCTGGACTAAATTGCAATGACGAAAGCAAATTTGCTTCTGAAATTAATGTACAGAATGCAACTGTTACTCACCTTTTACCCTGCAAATAAGAGAACTCCAAAAGCAACAACCCAATAAAAAACACGGATTAAGATGCATCTTACCTTCCTCAGATGTAAGCATATGGCTCTCAATAAGACATTCCAAAGCCTGAAAGGACAGAGATAATGAGATCAGATAGATAGCAAGTCTTTCAATGTCTATGCAAAAGGAGGAACATAAGCTTTTTTAGCTAATCTACACTGCAATGAGAAAATTTGGTTGCTTTCGATATTTGCTCAGCAATTTCCCATACTAACTAGAGAGAACATGCAAGCATAAAGCAGACCACCGAATACCTCATAACAAAGAGGATCAGCCTTAACAGCAGCTTTGTACCTGAAACTCCAAAATTAATTTATATGAGCTAAATAGTAAAGCACGAAATCTACGTCTTCAACACCATTGCATCAACAATCATATGCATCAACCAGCCAACATATACTCAAGTCTCTAATCTTTCCAACCTTTTTGCTCCTTGGTGAGTACATGTACATATAAAGTTCACCTAAACATATGCTCAACAGTCCACTTTTCTTTTTTTTCATACACATAACTTTCAGAATGTAGTTACCAGATTATTATCTCTAACACGAGAAAAGCCGGCGAAAAATGTCTACTGACCATTGTCGGGCCTGGGAGCGATTTTGCAAGGCTTCATATGCCTTGCCTCTTAAAAAGCAAATTGCTGATGAAATCTGTAAAAGAAAACCCGCATATTCAGTTTAGTTACTTGCATAAACTTCAATATTTCAGATGGACAAGGATTCGGTGTGGTACTGGACGAGGAAATTTCAATAATTTAGTAATCCAACATAGAGAATGCAGTATTCATATGGAAAACATACTTACATTTATCTCTCGGTCCTCTCCATCTTTATCAAAGTACATTAAGTTACCATCTTTGGTGTCATACACATTACCATCTTCATCGACCTTTGCCTCACCAAGCATCAAGAGACACTGATCCCATTCCTTCAGTTCTTCCTGAAACCACACAAATCACATGGAAAACGTTGATAAAACCCTAAACCCTTATCACCCAAAACCTCATTCCAGTCACCACACACTCAAAATTCAAACTTGAAAAGCACCGAATCAATCGATAATAGGGACACAAAGAAAGATGCGAAATTTGAATTACGAGGCACTTGGCGGCTAGGTAACGAAAGCGGAGATCTCGGAGGACGATCTTAGAGGCGTTGAGGAGGTGAAATGCGCGGCGGTAATGACGGCCGAGGAACAGAGCCTGTGCCTGCATATATATGTCGGCGGGATCTCCAGTGACCACCGCCACTTTGTCGGCGAAGAAGATAGCCGAGGAGTACAGGTGCTTGCTCACGCAGTCCCGAACCACGCCCCGAAGCTTTTCTATCTCTTCTTCTCTCATTGTTCCTCCTCTTCCCAATTCTACAACCCGGGCTTCTCAAGCAAGACGAGCAAAACAGTAGATAATTTACCTGTTTGTTTGTTTCTCGGGGAAAAAAAATGTTTTCCCCTTTCCAGGAAAAAAAAAAGTGTGTTACACAGACAGTACAGCTTCGTAGGGGATGAAGAAGAGGGGCGGGAGAGAGATTTTACTCTCTTAAGCATCATGGGCTCTGAGACCAATTATCTATTGGGCTTATTAGGCCATAATTGGGCCTATGAGCTGATTAATATTTTGGTCTTTTAAATCCAATATTGTATTGTCTAAAAGCCCAATATCCCGTATTGGGTCTTCAAGCTCAATAATCTATTGAACCAAGAAGCCCAGAAGATTATCTAAATAACACAAATATGGCGTTGAAACTCCTGAAAACTTTGCAAATGATCTGGTTTCTGCGTCTGCGTCTGCGTCTGCGTCTGCGTCTGCGTCTGCGTCTGCGTCTGCGTCTGCGTCTGCGTTGTAAACTGCGTTGTAAAGGGTTTGAGTTTAAGCTACTATTAACTTGTTCTGTCTCTTGGTATGTTCCTTGCAAAATCGCAAGTGATTTTAGCTTCAAGTTGGTCAATTTTGAGATTGTAACCTCTAATTAAAGCTTCACGAAGCTACAAAACCCTGATCTCAGGTGAAATCTTTGCCTCATGTCTTAGTCTTCTCGTTCCTTCTGCAGCCAATCTTCTGCGTTCTTTCCTGGGTTTTTTGTCCGAGTCTTTCAGTCTACTTGTATATACATGTGCTCTTGTTCTGCCCTGATTGGCTCCTCATTTTTGGAATCTCAGGATTCGGTATTATGATTACGTGAGATTTCCAAGTGCAGATTGAATCAACGTTTTGATCCTACTTAATTTGATTCTCAGGCCTTGGCAATCTCGAGAGTTTGATTCCGCTAAGTAGAATACATGGACGAACAGCTTGTAAGCGCGAATCGAAAGCTTGCGTTAAGGCATAGCGACAGAACAGGAGAAGACAGGATCAGCAAGTTACCAGTGTTGGAAATATAACATGTTAATGAACCATGTAATTTTGTGTTTTTAAACTTCAATATGATCTTGACTACAATGATGGAAATGAGTTTATTATGGTGTTGAAGTTTATGGGTATTTAAGTTTATTCCCCTCTCCTTACCCTATAAATAGTGGACATTTGGTTCATATTTTAATCCATCAAAAATCTATCAAAGTTAGGGAGAAAGGAGAGAAAACAAACAAAAACTGATTTACCGAATTGTTCTTCAAAGTCATTCCGCTGCAAAATGGATTCAGGTATAATTCTTATCCGATATGTATATTAATTTCGAATTGTGTGAATTATGCAAAAACCGTATCCAGTTTTTGGTGAGTTTTCATAAAGTTATCGAAAACCATCAAATGTAAAGTATTTTACATTTGGTATCAGAGCTTGTGTTTTGTTTTATCATAATTCATCGATTATAGTTTCGAAATTTTAATGTGTGTAATATATTGATACATTTTTTTTATGTGTCATCAAAGATTATAGTAATATAAATTAAAGTGGGTATATATATATATATATATGAATTAGTATATATGAATATTCGTATTTATAGTGAAATTTAATATTGATAACTTCTATGTTTTATAATACATATCAATATGTATTATTATTATTATTGTATCTTCATATAAGTATATATATTATGCATTAATATACCATATAGTAATTTGTATGGATAATAGTTTATATACTTTATGAAATTAACTATGTGGATACATGTTATATGGAGGTTAAAAA